ATTTTACGGACGCCATCAGGAGTTGGTTGACCGTTATGGAATAACCGTTTCACAGATGATATCGGATATGTTCCTTATGTCGTAATTACAATCCACGTCCTTTTTCACCACGAATGTGACCTACCGAATTAGACTTATTACCGGATTTGTAATAACATGAGCAACACGACGGGTGCCACATGTGGAGCAGGATCTGCTTACCCTTCCGGAGCACCTGAGATCAACCCCAGTTTTTGGTGGGGTTCGTGTTGCTTAGTCTTTAGTTTTCTATGTTGTGTCTTGTGTACTATTATTTGTCTGTTTGTCTTTTTATTTTTTAGCCATGGCGTTGTCAGTTTATTTTCGATATATGAGTTTGACTGTCCCTCTGGTATCTTTCGCCCCTCTTCAATGAGTTCGTCAAATAAAACATTAATTTTCCACTTACCCAAAAGACAGACAACGAGAAAAGCAATTACAATCTTCATGGTTTAAGTTGTTTGTAGCGAATATAATAGACGATAGCTCTGACAGAACTTTATATACGAAATAATAATTATCTGTGCGTGCATTGAAATAGATAAAATCCTCATGGTTGACCAAAAATAACTATGCTTCACATTAAAAACGACCGGAATATGGAACAAAACATGTCTGCAATGTTGTATATAAAGTAGATAAATCACGATCTGAAATACGACTAGACTGATTTCAAAATTCCCATTATGCCAAATGATCACGATAAAAGTAATATAACAATAGTGAGAAAAAAAATTACTATAGCCTTCACCTGATTTTCTAACTTCACAAACATTGATAATGCGTTGTCATAAGCACTAGAAAATTCAGTTCCATCTAACTTTCAAATGCCCCCACCCCTTCTTAGTTAGAACAAATCTACACGTTTGATGTTTCTTTACTGGCCCATCTGATACATAAAGTACAAAAAGACTTCATTAGGTCTTCAATGATAGACGTGTATCCAAACCACATGTCAACCTTAAATCATATGGAGTTCAGTCCAGTTTTACGTGAATTAAACAGACGATAACGAATATCTGTCATCAACACCTAATTCTTCAAGGGACAGATACATTAAGATATCTTCGAGATTCCTACACAGACACATTTAAAACATGTAACGTGAGGGTACCCAAATTGCACCTATTTTGACTTTTTTTTCACCTTCGTTTATTTATGAAACTGACAAAAGATAATTTCCAATCTGTTTTGATTTTATCTTTATTTACTATTAGATCCATAAATTCAATTTTGAATCCCTACTGAATCATAGAAGAATGTTTTTGAACCGACCTCCAAACGATCTAATATTGTGCAATTAGGAGTTCATAATTTTACTTTCCGCTATAAAGATAATGTTCTCTCACTAAATAATTCAAAATTTGGTGACTATGTTGGACGCATCTATCCCATCGAACTTGAGATAAAGGATACAACAAATACAGTTAAGTCTGCCTCATATCTTGACTTACATCTAGAAATTGACAATGAGGGTCGGTTGAAAACAAAACTTTACGACAAAGAGATGATTTCAGCTTCCCAATTGTGAACTTTCCATTTCTTTGTAGCAACATTCAAGCAGCGCCTGCATACGGAGTATATATCTCCCAGTTGAAACGATATTCCCGGGCTTGTATTTCCTATCATGATTTCCTTGATAGAGGGTTGCTGCTCACAAGGAAGCTAGTAAACCAAGAGTTCCAAGTGGTGAAGTTGAAATCATCCCTTCGAAAATTTTACGGACGCCATCACGAGTTGGTTGATTGTTATGGAATATCCGTTTCACAGATCATAGCGGTTATGTTTCAATTGTCGTAACTACAATCCAGTCCCCTTTTCCCCGAATGTGACCTACCGAATTAGACTTATTACCGGGTTTGTACTAACATGAGCAACACGACGGGTGCCATATTTGGAGCAGGATTTGCTTACCCTTCCGGAGCATCTGAGATTATTCCCAGTTTTTTGTAGGATTGTTGCTCAGTATTTAGTTTTCTATGTTGTGTTTTGTGTACTGTTGTTTGTCTGTTTGTCTTTTTCGTTTTTTAGCCATGGCGTTGTCAGTTTATTTTCGACTTATGAGTTTGAATGTCCCTTTGGTATCTTTCGCCTCTCTTTTTCGCACACATGCTTAACTTCACATCCGTACTAACAGAATAACTGATGTTTTTATTTTTTTTTTCTCACACTATTTGAACAATTTGACAATATACAATATGCATTTTGTAGTGACATATCTTTATTGCATATTTTTAAAAGTCGACTTAGGGTATATTTGACTTTTTCAATTTTAACCGGAGATTTCATCTGTTGATATATAACATTAAAACGGGCAGAGTGAGACAGACCAAAACATGTCTGTTTTGCGAGTTGTAGTTGGTGATTTTGTACTGTCTTAATGTCATTGCCCCATATTCGTTCTTTAACAAAACATAACCCAGTCTTTTGCAACATTCTCTTATTGAAACAGATTTAGTAAGATATAGCATATTTTTTATACTTTATTTATAACATATTTAATATGCGTCTTCAACAAAAACTGTTATATTTGAACAATTTTGATATTTCAACAAACACTTCTAATTCATTCAGTTGACAGTTAACTCTGCGTTTTTTTCATGAAATCAGACAATTCACTTTGTTTTGAAAGTATTTTTAAAATTGTTAATGGTGCAACCATGAAAGACTTTTCGTGAAATTGAACTCATTGTATTGGTAGTTGCCATAACATTGGCGCTTGTTTGGGGCTCGAAAGGAAACTGTTACTGGAAAGGTCAGAAATGTTTTCATCATCGAGTTCATTTGTAGTTCCAGAAGCAACAACGCTGTAGTTTTCGTTAAGAAACGAAACTGTCGCATTAGGCAGTTTTAAACTCCTGATGAGAGGAACTAGATTAGTCGTAGGAAATTGTTTTAATCCCGGCATTTCCAAAAGATGGCCCTTTATTGAACACCGAATAGTGTCACCCATAACTTCTTATTCCTTTCCAGAAACGCGTTGGTTAATTGCAAGTCCTTAAGCAGATTTATTTCCTGTAACAGCCACAGTCTAAAAAGATCTAAGGAACCCAAGCGATAATAAGGTTTAAAGAAGCAAAGCTGGTACCTAGGTTTAAAGAAGCAAAAAGTTCATATACATGTAAGTAATTAAATGAAAAATAAATACCTGCGACAGGAACGCCACGGTAAGATACGCCTTTCATATTCATATTGAAATTGTTGCATTGATACAATATTGTAAGAAGCAAAATGGCATTGTCAGAAAACTTACAGTAGGATATCCTTACAAATATAAAAATTGCCCGAAAGGAGGTGGTATGATGAGAGCCATTATGTGGCCCCAAAAATGGCAAAAACATTAAAATTCTTCTATCCTTTCCAATTTATGTTAGTTGATCTTATGAATAAATAGGATTATATTACTTGGACACTTTAGTTCAGGAAAGTCATGTTTGATATCGCTATTAAAAAATTGAAATTGGCGTATTTGACCAAAAGAATCCAGCTGCCCCTATTTTTTAGCGAATGAGATATCCAAAAAGATATTTAACCCATATTAACATCTTTTTGTAAAACACCTTATAGCATAAAATTTATTTTGGTAAAGCCTGGTTTCATATTTAAATCTAAACGACAAAATGAGGCTATTTTGCCATAGTTTTGCATAAAATGCAAGAAGTTAAAGGTCTTAAGCAAATATGCAAGGAAACTATTGAAAAATACAAATATTGTGTATCACGTTGCAAAATGACATTTGGTCTATGATACTTGCATAGATATAAAAGAGTCATATGCATTTAAAGAATTCTTAGCTTGCTTCAGTTACCGTTCTAAAGAGGAAATGTCTCCATTGACCTGCAAGAAATTTTTCAAAATCTGCAGAACAATATGTCCACCAATTTAAAAAAAAATTATGAGTGTTATTGTTTTTAATAAAATCACAAAATTATATCTAAAGAAGAATAAATTCTATTACATTGAAAAGTAACATTTTTTACATTTTTAATTTATTAAAAACCTTTACATATTTACTGTAGGACTCTCCGAATTATTATTGTTACTAGTTTGTGGACAATCTATCTCAAATAAAAAGAGCAGCTGCTTCTTTAAAAATATAGATTTAAAAAAAAAGTTTCAAATCGTAATTGGTAAAAGGCGGATGACTAAAATGTAACAATCTTGTTTGATAAGTGTCACCGCATTAAGTAAATCAAAGGCAGTTTATATTTTACATCTATTGACCTTAAATAAACCCTATTTGTCGATTAACAAACAGCCAGTGCATATAGACCAGATCCACCCAGTTTGGAGGACATGAACTTATGCGTAGGAACTATTTTGTTTTAAGATATGTACTACTTTCCGGTAAATTCTTTTTGATCGTTCCCGAGCTGGTGTTACATCTTACAAAGTTTGCACGAATTAATTGCCCTATACATACGTTATTTCCTTCCAAGTTATCAAACAAATATATATCGATGTGCCCCGTGGTTGTGTAAATGTTTGTATTGTTTTTGCACGCTTCAGTGTGAATTTCAGGCTAAATTATGAAAGGAAATGTTTGATTCCTTTGCCAGATTTATTTTATTGATATTACTTCATAGCTTTGGTCTTCAATTCACAGTTGTAACGTACGCGTGATCGTCAGTTTGCAAAGAATTCCGCTCATACCGGTGCTAGGGACCGTCTCAAACTTGCAGTGACGTGAGAATTTTTGTTCCGTATTGAAGGCCTCACAGTGACTGTGAGATGAAGAACAGCAACATAAGCGCTGTTCATTTTTTTTGTTGTGTTTTTGCTGTGCACGTATTGATTTTGTGTCATGGATGGATGCCCCATATCCTTTATTATATATTATTACAGATGTAAGATATGCATATAATTTTATTCATTCTAATTTATATGTTATCTTTGTTAATCATTTCAAGTATGGTAAAACTTCGTTCTTTAAACAGAAAAATAAAAAAAAAGAAATAACTATTGTTCGTTACTTTTTTTATTAAAGAATAAGCAGCTGCCAAGTATTTTACAGTTGTAGCATCTAAAACCTAGAACAACGACATCTACCATCTACACAGTGTCTACGTGATGCTGAACAGGACCAACTATTTATGGCGTCACACTGTGCTTTGTTTGTGCATGCTGTAATAAATAATCAAATGTTTAAACTTATTTTCGTAATTTTTAACAGTTGTTTTAATGCAAAGTTACATCAATTGTAAATATAGGCTACAGCAGTTTCAATGATGAGTTTATTTACCTATGTTCAAATCTCAAAAACCGATAAAAAAGACAAATCAATGTAACAAACCAAAGCTGAGGAAATCGAACGAACTCAAAAAGGAACGAGACCGGATGCGTCGACATGAAAGCTCATAAATCGATAATAAAAAAAAGACAAATCAAGGTAACAAACCAAAACTGAGGAAATTGCAAGAACTCCAAAAGGAACGAGACCGGGTGCGTCGATAGGGTAAGCGTTTCTGTTATTCATGCAACACCCATCATGTTTCATTGTCAATTTAACTACAATATTCTGAAACCAAAACATTGAAAGCATTCTAACATGTGCAGACAATATATGTTTGAATGGTTTTTAAAATTGTTTTTTTTTTGTCAACAGCCTATCAAGTATGTATATGCAAACTTCAGCACAAGAATTCGTTTTAAAACACAAAGAAGAGCACGGCTTATTTTACCAAATATCCATTTGATTTTCAACAGTTCCATTCTTAAGGGGACGTTATAATTTTCTCCAACTGAGCTTCTCTTAAAAGGTAAAGTATAAAATCGTATGACTCCGGCACAATAACCACATCACTGAAGTTACAATATAATGATTTGTTCTCGAATATTTAAAGTCCATGAACACAATTATAAATCGAACTGAATGAAAAATCAATATATAAGAGATACAATGAAAAATTTAATTAATTACAAATTAAATCATTGGTGTTAAAAATTGACGTATCGGTACAAATTTACTGAATTGGAAGATAAGCTGCACAATTTTAATGGTAAATATTGAAAATTTTATATAATTGCTGTATTTACGTGTGATTGGTGGCTTAAAAAAAATGAAGTTTTGAGTACCTGAATGAAATATAGCTATTTGATGACTCATGTGAGAAGTTTCAATAAATTGTTTTGAAATTAGAGTCCCTAACCAGGGTGTTCTTGTATTTCTATATATCCACCCAGGGTCCGACTATTTTTTTGTAATTGCGGTATGTTTTTTGGAATATAATGTTTGATTCAAAATTTCTTTTAAAAAATATTTGTTTCAGAAGGGATGAGAAAAAAATGTTTTTGTTTCTGCTGCAAATAAAAAAATAAAAAATAAGAATAAAAAAAAATACATTGAATTAAAATTTCAACTTGTTCCTGTATGTCACTGAATACATTGTCATTTCTATTATTAAACAAATAGCAAATTTTGTGTCCCGAGAAAAAAATCCATCCCCACCCACAAAAGATTAATAGCTGATGCTTTAAGAAAACGGTTGATTAAATACCAGATTGAAGAATAAAATACACAACATTCGGGCTGATTTGTGAAAACAAAAGTCATTTTTTATTATTCAATTTGTATCATGTTTTTGAAATGATATTATTTAGTGTAGATATAGATAATACTTCTTACCTTGTCCTCCATCAGTACTGTGTAGACAGGTACACGTGTTTGATACACAAGCCTTATGCCAATGGTTTTCACATGTTACGTGTCCACATTCCTGGTCAGGATTATTATTAGGACAATCCTCACCGCTGATGTAACCTACAAGTACAATTACAAAGAATTAAAAATAATTGTCGTCTCTGCTTTTGTTTTCATCTTTCCGATTAACCCAGGGAATAAACATTGCCGGAATATAAATAAGAAGATGGGGTATGAGTTCCAATGAGACAACTCTCCATCCAAGTTACAATGTATAAAAAGTTAACAATTATAGGTCAAAGTACGGCCTTCAACAATGAGCATTGGCTCACACCGAACAGCAAGCTATAAAGGGCCCCAAAATGATTAGTGTAAAAACAATTCAATCAGGAAAACGGTCTAATCTATATAAAAAACGAGAAATGAGAAACACATATGAACCACACAAACAAACGACAACCACTGAACAGCAGGAAGTCCAGTGATATTCATATGAAACCAAAAACATAAGTTTTATGATTCGGTGCGATAATGAAGTCATAAACTGTAGGTTTCTGACTGACTTGTAGAGATTTGAAAATACAACTTTTTAAACTTGAGAAGTATTATAAATATCTTAAGTTTAAGGAGGGAGAATAATAAGAGTTGTAGAAGAGAGGCGAAAGATACCAACGGGACATTCAAACTCATAAGTCGAAAATAAGCTGACAACGCCATGGCATAAAAAAGAAAATGACCAACAAACAAATAACAGTACAGAAATCTGAAGACTGAGCTACACGAACCCAACCATAAACTGGAGATGATATCAGGTGCTCCGGAAGGGTAAGCAGATCCTGATCCACATGTGACCCCCGTCGTGTTGCTCATGAAAGTACAAACCGGTGATAAGTCTAATTCGAAATGTCGCATTCGGGGAAAAGCGGACGGGATTGTAGTTACGATGATTGGAACATATCCGTCGTCATCTGTGAAACAGATATTCCATAACGATCAACCAACTCGTGATGGCGTCCGTAAAATTTACGAAGGGATGATTTCAACTTCACCACTTGGAACTCTTGTTTTAATAGCTTCCTTGTGAGCAGCAAACCTCTATCAAGAAAATTATGATAGTAGGTCGGTCCTTGTATTTCAAATCTCTTCAATCCTTTCAACATATTGTTAATCTTATAGATAAACAAAAATTGTGATAGACATTTAGATTAAGTACGTGCAGGGCATAATTTTTTTTTCCATTATTAAACTATCGTTATTAATGCATCGTTCCATCGCTATGGGCAAACGATGCAGGGGAGGTAATGACGTCGCTAACGTAAATTTTTTTTCGCAACATTAAAATGTGACAGGAAAAGGTGTGTTTGTCTACTGATTTTAATCATTAGCTTGAAAACTAGTTCCTAGACCCCTGTTTTTTTTAAAGACATGGAGCTTAGTTATGTAGAATGATTTGTACCAATTTTGAGAAGAAGAAAAATCACAGATATTTTTTTTTGTTTGTTTGTTAATTAGATAAACAAACAGCCAAAAATGTCGGTTTATTCTGTTAACATGAACATTTAATAAATATAAATTATTTCAAAGACTTGTTTCACAAATTCAATGTAAACCTATTAAAGAAGATATTCCAAATGGTTTTACAAAAAACCCGCTGGAGTTTATCTTTTGCAACATAAAAAGTCAGGTATTTCTACCAAAAACATACAAATGTCAAAAACCCCTTTTTGTAAATATCTAAATAAAGGTATGTTTTTATCACATATTTGAATTTATCAGGTAAAAATAACTTGTATTCAATTTTTTGTCAAAAAAATAACCGTGGGATCAAAACTGTATCGTATGCCCTTAAGTTATATATCAAAGAAAAGCTTTTCCATAAGATATTTCTTGACGCAATTATTGATTTTTGCTTAAGGTTGACGCACGCAAATGAACATCTTTGTTTAATGCAAATAAACAACTTTGGGGTAATTATTTGGATTTTTGAATAAATAGAAATGGTAATTTGGAAAAAATGAGATAAATGTTTACATTTTTTGCTTATCCACCTATAATACATTGTGATTAGACGAAACATAATTATGTGACAATAAATTTAAAAATAGTATGAACAGTAGATATAAGTCCTAAAACCCTGATATTTTTTTGAGATGCTAAAACAATTGCCATATCACATATTCCCCATTCTTAACCAATGAATTGAAATATAAATTACAATTTGCAAATTTCAACCATAATTAACCCCTGTAGTTTCTGAACAGCATAATTCTACATAAAACTAAACTTTTAAAGTAAACCGAATGTTTAAGGAATGCATTGTAATAAAATTTTATACTATTATTCAAAAAGGGACAACAATTGAAGACGGAAACAGATATGATGTCTTCAGTTTCTTTATGCACTCATTATACTTACAACCATGGCACTGACTATTGAGCGAACAATGTATACTTGCAAACAGATAGCACTGACCATTGAGCAAACGATGTATACTTGCAAATACTAGTAGATGGCACTGACTATTAAGCGAACGACAGTCAAACCAAATTCATTAAATCAAACGTTATCTTTTCACTTACCCAAAATGCAGACAACAAGGAAAACAATTACAATCTTCATGATTCGTAGCAACTTATAAGTGACAGTCTTGACAGGACTTTAGTTTATATACGACAAAATCGTATTCTGTGCGTGCATTGAAATAGATAAAGACCTCACGGTCGATGGCCTAAAATAAATATGGTTTCACGTTTAGGACGGTCGGAAGATGTCATGTATCAGATATTGTAGATAAAACAGATTGAAATAAGAATCATCCCATTTTAAATTTCACATAAATTTCACATAATGCCCAGTGATAATTTCTTAGAGCTTATAGAAAATTATATTAGTTGATACAATTAGGAGAAATTATCCTTTGATTGATTCAGTAGTGAACTGCTTATGGTTAAATGATAAATAGTTTATAATAATCAAAATTAAGAATATCCCCTGGCTTCAGAATTCATTATTGTTATTTTTTTAGACTTAACTTCGACTTAATAGTTTATAGAATTCGCCCTTTAAATGAGAAGTAAATATATGGGTCAAGTAAAATGACAAGTAACACGTAATGATGGGCGCATTTGATTACACGTAACTGGATTAATAATTCCCTAAAAAGGTTGTTGTCACTAATATCATCTTGCATTTAATAACATAATATGTATAGATTAAGAAAGGCAGATTGGGTTAATATAAAAAAAAATCGATTCCAACAAAATATGTGTATTCAACGAACAAAGAAGTCATGAAGTCTTTACTCCCCTCCGTCATGCTTCAATGATTTAGGCCGAGACACTTTCAGATAGGTTAGCTGTGTCGAGTAATGTTATTTTTATTGGAAATCTCTATTATGAGAACGTAATCTTAAGAAAGAAATGTAATTTTCATTTATTAGCAGTGGGTCGATACCGCTGCTGATGGACTATTAGAATCCGAGAGTATCATCAGCTTAGTAGTCATTGATTCAATACTAACATGATTTTAAACATGAATACATAACATTCCCCGTTGATAATTTACTAAGAAACTGAAGTTTAACCTCCCTCAGTCAAAGATGATGACTTTTTACTTTCGAGTGTCACTGATGAGTCTTTTGTACACAAACTCGCAACTGGCGTGCACAATTTTAAATCTGGTATCTATGATGAGTTTATTACAGGTTAAGCGTCTCCTGCTCTACATGATTCACCGTCATGCGAATCCACACTCAGCAAAAATGTTACAATCGGTAAAATTGCAGTTTAAACGGCTATGCCGGTATCAAAACATTTAAGACTGCGAAAACATGTCGTTAGTAAGTTAAGATACTAACATATCGTTTAGTCAACTAATTCCTGATGGTGAAAGCAAAACTTATATATAATTGATTTCAGTCGTTCTTGTTCATAACTCTGTTGGGGCATTTTTTGTATAAAAGAGGGACGAAAGATACCAGAGGGACAGTCAAACTAAAAGATCGAAAACAAACTGACAACGCCATGGCCAAAAATAAAAAGACAAACAGACAAATAATAGTACAGATGACAAGAAGCATATTACTACTAATGAAGTCCGTATAGTGCCAACATACACGCTCTTCGCGTTTTTATTTAGATATGTAAGCGCCAAACGATGGGACAGAGGGTATGTTACTGCTGATTAAAGGAAAGTTGACAATTGAAACATTGAAATCATCACGTTTGTCATAGATTCAAGTTTTAAGTCGTCCATCTGTGTCAATATCGCGGAAAAGATCATGATATGAAGCAGACCTTCTTGTTTCGGTAGTATCCTTAATTTTAAGGTCACTTTTGGGATATATTAGATTCAAGCACTCTCTGCATTGTTGGTTATTGAATGACAGGACATTATTGATACATCTGAAAGTGAAATTAAAGAACTTTGCAGGAAGCTTTTTTTTCTTTGTTGTCTTTGCGAACGTTTTTTTTATGAATTATAAACCAGTTACTAAGATATTTATCACTGAAATATTATTCACGTGTACTTATTACTTCTACCTCGTTTGTACTAAATTGGCCTTAAATTACGCCAAAATACATGTAGCTGTGTTATCGTGTTTTATGCTCCTTATTATTGTGCATATTAAATGCAAATTTGTATAGCCAGATCTTTTAAGTAAAATGCGCGGTAGTATACATTGTGTTAAAAAATCGTAAATTTAAATAGACATTTTATCCCGGGTGTCCGTTTTTGTAATCTACTTTCATTAATACCTGAAATACTGGTACGTATTAAAACCTTGCTGCTTAGGGAAAATGTCCGGGGTTTGATTAATTTTTATATGAGTTATATTTCTTCTAGATAATAATTTGTCATGACTTAATTTCAATGGTTGTGTTCTTTATCTATAAATTGCTGATTTTTTTATTGATATCAATCCTATAAATATCATTATATACAGGGTAAATCATTTACAAACTCATTCCTTTGAGGACTTTTCAAGTACTAGAGTATTAGATACTTCAGGACTTTCGTGTCATATCATGACTTCCTTGAAAGAGGGTTGTTGCTAAAGTTTACATAAAAAAAGTATTTCATAACTACAAAGAGTTCGAAAATCAGTGCCGATCAATTATTTTAAAACGATTTATGCCCCTTGGAAATATCAATTATATGGAAATTGCATTGTAAGCGCTCTCATGTGTACAATTCTTGAGATACCCACGGTTTTTTGTGGGGTTCGTGTTGCTCAGTTTTTAGTTTTCTATGTTGTTTTTTGTATACTGTTTGTATTTTGGTCTTTTTTTTTTTAACCATAGCGTTGTTAGTGTTATGTCGACTTATGAGTCTGAATGTCCGTTTGGTGTCTTTAACCTATCCTTGAAGGAACTGGTTATAAAATATCGTGAAAAAACTCATGTAAGTAAATAAGCCTTGGATAAGCTTCACACCTTAAAGGTCAGTTCGACTCCGTTGACAGTTAAGATTTCTGTACTTTGCATACTGTCTATCACACAATCTTATCAAAGAGAAACTGCCCTTTTTATTAAATGATATTTCGAATAACCTGGGTGTTTCTATATATGTTGCAGTCGTCATGATTCTTTTTTGTTTGGCTGTAAGGAGGAGGGGGACTTTACAAAACATAAACTTATTAAAAATGCAACGAGATCATTAAAACCATGAGTTTTTTAATTGATTTTATATATTTTGATTTTTAAAATGAAAAGTTTCGCAAAGTTATTCATATTCCGATAGAATGTAACAGTGCCCTTCTTATTGCAGATTTATTCCTTTACTGTTTTGAATAACGAATTTATCTTGCACAACAAAATTGAAATGATAAAGGACGATATGAGATAGGGATTATAACAATGACAAACGGAACATATTTCTCGTCACATTGTGACACAGATTTCCCATAACGGTCAACCAAATCATTCCGCCTCTCTTTTTAGGGGTTAAGCTAGCTATCAACTTGTTTTACCCACCATTTTCTTCAAATATGTCTGTACCAAGTCAGGAATATGACAGTTGTTATCCACTCGTTCCGTTGGTTGATAAAGTTTGCTTTTGTCAGTTTTTATGGACTTCCTTTTTTACAATTTTTTGGTATTCGGTATTTTTGTTATACTTTTTTATATTCCACAATTATTTTTCTCCACAGATAATAATATAGTCTACAGACACAAAATCAACAGGTGATAATATATAGTCCAATATAATAGCAATAATAGTCAACGAATGATATATTAAACTGGAATAAAACATTTTCGCTGAGTCTCATTTCAGTCCATGACTAAGTCATTAGAAATATTCATTGTACGACATTGCGTTCGACTTCTTTTTTTATGTGTTATTAAGAAACTTTGGTGCATACAACATGACTTCACCTGCCAATGATCTAACCATAATTTAACATAAGACATAGGAACTTATATATCTCCTTTCTTATTTTATACATTTCGTTTCGTTTCTCACCATACATATTTCATTTCGTTGTATTTCCTTTCGTTTCGTCCGGTTTCGTTTCAAATTGTTCTGTTTTGTTTCTAACTTTTATGAACCTCATATATTGTATCGTGAACTTTGTTAACGTTGCTTGGGTTAGCAATACAAAACATTCTAGAATGCTGTTGAATGAAGTTGTCTGTGATGGGGTTTTTGAAATTGCACAGCTACTCTAAGTTGGTGTAAATTCGATGCAAATTGTGAAAAATTCTTATGATCTGTCAGATTATGAAAACTAATGAAATCCATTTCCATGGTATAAAACATTTGACTTATCCACCCTTTACCTTTAGAATTTCTCATTCAAATCAAGAGGATTGATCTCCAACTTTGTTTTATAAAATGGGGTAGCTAACGTTATAATTATTTTTGAATGGACAAGCAATAATTTGTGAAAACCACTGATACTTATATTATATGTTTGGTAGACGTGTTTTGTTCAGACAATCTGCATTCGTTCAGGACCTAAATATGGTATAATTCTCGTCTTGACTGTGAATTGCTGTCAGCGATAACAAGAAAACATGTTTTGATTGTGACAAAAAGGTAGACGATACTGTAGGGACAGTTATTTATAAGTTGAAAAGAAACTGTCCAAACTATGAAGTTTTGCAATTCATAACCCTCATTCCTCTAAATAAATTAATTAACTAACCAAACAAAGCTATATATGTCATTGTTTTGAAGACAGGAATTGACATTTGCCTTGTAACTATTAATTGTCAAGGTGAAGTAATATACTTTTTTTATTTTGAATTCGTGATTTATCTTATAAATGTACTGACGACGAGGTTCGTTCTGTAATTAATGTGAAGCAGTTACTACACCCGATGCAACCCGTGTCATCCTATTAAACAGGTCTTATGTTAGTGGGGTTACGTTGTTCAATAGACGCTATGGTATACCATGTTAACATATGGTATAGGGTTATTCTATTGAAATAGGTTAACATAGTAAGTAAACCATGCTTGTATAATGTATGGTGTTATCCTATTGGAGTAAGATAACACAGCAATGTTACAAATTTATCATATGGTATGGAGTTTACTATTCAAATAGGGTAACACAGTAATTATACCATGTTAGCATTTACGGATTTAGTATACCTGGTATAGGGGTTATCTTACTTAAAAAATAACATAGGTATCTTGGTTTTGACACATAGGCAGATTATTGGCAAATAATTGTCTCTCTTCTATATACCGGTATATATAATGAAATTAACATTCTCTGTCTGCCGCACAGCCAATTAAATGAAAACACAATTAGATACACAAACAATGATTATTGCAATACATGTAAGATGCCAGGTCTATTTAAAACCTTTTGTACCATCTGTACCGCCTACTGAAGAGTCCAAAGTAGAAATTGTGATTCTGGTATACTCCATTATTATATAAAGGGACGAAAATCACAAGGCCTTACAGACTTCTAAAATTCAATTACATTCTTTAACTTATTTGTTAATCACAACACTTCTTTATTGTTATTTCAAGATAAAAAAAAAACTGAATGCTCATATTTTTAACACATTTATAACAAAATAGATTCTGCTTTACTTTTTCCATTTTAAATTCAGTCAACGATTTGATATTATATGATCAATAATCATGAACAAATAAATTGAATTTACCATTTCATTAGAATCAATGTAATATTATGTGAATTTAATTTGATCCAGGCCTTGGGAGTCTAGGCAGAAAACATTTCCTTCCAGACGAACAATACAAGTGTAGTTTCAACACCTATTACTTCACTCAGGATGTGCCCCAACGTCTCATGTGAGGTATTGCCCTAATACTTTTGGTTAATCGTCTGAAAACTTTCCACATTTTAATCTGTTGCAAAATCTTTCTTGCCAACTAAAACCCAAATTCGTAGGAATGTTCATATTTGTAGGTTATGTAGTATACATTGTATATCCCAGTTAAAGCCCATGGACCTTGGAAAATGGCTTTCTTCTCAACATCTTATTAGGCTATAGAACATTTAAAGATCCTTAATAGAAATCTTGAGCTAATCTTTTATAAGATAACATGACAGCTTATTCCTACCAAAAAACAACAGAAAGCTAATTTTACATAATTTTATGTCTGCAGGTTGAAGTATAGAAATTCCAGAGGCAAGTAACAACATTTCAGAACGTTGTTGTCTCTTTTAGTTATGAACTTTTTAGGATGGTCACTTGTAAAAAGGGCAAGTTGTTTAAAAACAAACTTATGTTGAACACTACACAACGCCAATTTTGATTTTTTGCTTCTTTTCTAAAAAGGTAAAATGACTGTCACAGTTGAACACAGTTTAACATGGAATCCTTTGTGAAAGACAAAGACATAGCGCAAACAATATTTACAGGGCGCACAACCAATACATAAACTCGGTAATGATAACACTGACAAATATAGATACTAACACCAAATAATAACGCGTCTTCTGTTTGGCTGACGTTGTTTTGTTTATCAGCTCATAGACATAATTTTGTCATGTGACCGTGACGTCCTCAACGTTTTTTCATGGTTTACTCCGGTTTAAAATGGAATTTAGAATTAAATTATAAGAAATGACTGTAATATTTTTTGTCTATTCGAAATAACATAAAAAATGTGGAGCACACTTTAAAATAATCCGCTACGCGGATTATTCAGTGTGCACCACATTTTTGATGTTATTTCTTCATAGGCAGAAAAAATATTACAGTCATTCCTTAATTAATCGACTACTATCCACACTGATCTGTGTCCACACTTTTATATATATACACATGTATATATATAAAAAAAAATAACTAAAACTTTCAAGCCACATGCAAAGCCTTAGAGGTAATGGTAACATAGATTTATTGACTAAACTACTAGTATTGTGCCTTGTTATGACACGGCTGCACCATGTAAAGCTTAGAAAGTTATAAAAAAAATCAGGTTATGTTTGCAGGGTTACGTTGTTCAATAGATACCATGTTAACATATATGTTATGAGGTTATTCTATTTAAACAGTGTAACATATTAGTATATGGTATGGGGTTATCTTATTCAAGTAAGTTAACATAGAAATGATGAAGTTTTATTATATGGTATAGAGTCATCCTATTCAAATAGCGTAACACATTTAAAAAGATAATGTTAGCATTTAGTATGGGGTTATCTTATTGAAGTGCATAACACAGGTATTTCGGTTTTGACACAGAGGCTTAATATTGTCCAATCATTGTCTTTCTTATATAAATATTTTAAAAAAAATACCCAATAATTTCAAGCCACATGCATCTATAAAGTCTAGAGGTCATTTTATCATAAAGTTATTGATTAATCTTTTATGTCTTGTATTGATACGTCTGCAGCATGTGAAGCTAAGAAAGATTCAGGTAAGTTAAAAGTGTATGCATTAACAGTACCTTAGTTGATATTACTACCGAGTTTCCCAGCTAATTTTCAAAACTAAAAATACACAAAAAGCACATGTTTTTGTCGCTTGTTGTATGCTGAACTTTTCTCTTCACCATTTCTGGAATTTGTACAATCTCATGTTTCGGCACAGATCGGCACATGGCATATATATGGCAATCATGATTTTCAACACATCAGTACGATATAACTTTGTAAATACCAAGGATTTGTATAGTACTTTACTATACAAATCCTTGTAAATACCATTTAATACTAATCATAAATAATTCACATTTAATGATTTATCATCTACCCCCCCCCCCCCCCCCCCCCCAAAAAAAAAATATAGATGTATAATTGATAAATACTCTGAAAATACATGTACTCTGTATTTGAATAAAATAGGGTGCGAAAAAAATCATGGGTCGAAATTGTTGGGTAAGAATGCGTAGGGTGCGAATGTGTTTTGAGAATCAATGTGTTTTAGATGCTAATTCGGACCCGTGAAATATCCCTATGACCAGACTCGCGTAAATTCGGATTGTTGCGACGGATACTTGATCCCTAGTTGATTTAAAGAAAAACACACATGTAATTATAACATAATAAATTATGCCTTTAGATTGGAACCATTTTACCAAAACCCATCCCCATATATGCGGATTGAGCGAAACCTATAAAGCCTGTTTCAGTGTCTGCCGATGAATTTAATATTTAACGTGTTATGGAAAACTGAGTTACATTATCTAAACATAAAATTAAATCTTTTGTGACAAACGTCAAGGGAATTTTGAAATTAATTTACACCGTACTTTAAACAGCTTTTTTAACTGCAAAACGCGCACTCTCTCGCTCAGCTGTAGTGGAATATTGTCCGGAATTGTTTCAAACGTTTTGAACCGGAAGTTGTGGAATTTATTTGCCATTTAATCATTTTCACTTTCACTTTCACTTTCACTTTCATTATGATTTAAACTCGAGACGTTTTTACAATGATGACTCTAAGTCTGGATAAATTACATTCAAGACCAGTTAGTGGCATCAATCCTAACAGGAAACGGGTGCAAGACTAAGTCCAACTATTGGAGAGAACTAGTAGTGCTGTCAACCATTTGATCACACACGGAAGTGTTATTTATTTACTCAAAAATATTAAAATGAAAATATATACACATGTTGAGAAAAAATAAAGCTGCAAATAAAAAATCTTGACCAAAAAACATAAAAAAAAAATACAGATGCTTGACATTTTTTTATATAGATTAGACCGTTGGTTTTCCCTGTTTGAATGGTTTTACACTAGTAATTTTTGGGGCCCTTTATAGCTTACTGTTCAGTGTGAGCTAAGGCTCCATGTTGAAGGCCGTACCTTGACCTATTATGGTTTATTTTTATAAATTGTTACTTGGATGGAGAGTTGTCTCATTGGCACTCACACCACATCTTCCTATATCTATATTTTAGCAGCTTTACTTTATTTAGTGTAAAATTCATAGTGCCTAAAATATAGTGCAAGTGTGACGGGATTGCTTCCCTTAGAAAACTTAGTAGATACTTAGTCAGCCGTAAGCGGTTGAGCTAAGGAACTACTTCTTTAGCTCAGTTGGTTAACACACTATCTTTTAACACAGAGGTCCCGGGTTTGAGTCCCGGTGAAGACTCATGAAGACTCATGAAGAATCATGCTCTCCGATTATATTGGCGCCTAACAATAAAAACCTAGGTTACAAGAATTACCTAGCCAGGGAAATATATATATATATAAAAGATGAAGATATCATCATTATAGTGTATATTGACTCTTGAGGTTGGGGAAGTGTGACGGGATTGCTTCCCTTAGAAAACTTAGTAGATACTTAGTCAGCCGTAAGCGGTTGGGGCTAAGGAAGTACTTCTACAGCTCAGTTGGTTAACACGCTGCCTTGTAACATGGTTCAAGTCCCAGTGGAGACATATTATTTTGCAAGAAGAATCATGCTCTACAGTTACACAACATATGACCGTCAAAACATGATAACCAAGTCACTTCTGATCAGATGAGTTTTATTTAGTTTCCATCAAAACATGTATTATTATTGCACTTAAACGGTTTGTGCAGTAATGGTTTCCACTAAAACTAAATTTAAATGTTATTAGTTTTTTCAACTGGTATAGAATTGTATACTTGTTTTGTACACTACTCAGTACTGCATCAAGATCTATTTACAACTAATACTACATCAAATTATAGTTTGTGGAGTAATAAATGAATCTTGCTTTCTGTTGGTGTGTTCGTTTATCATCTATCTAAATTGACTCCTTAAGTATTCTTAAACCTGTAAATGAATATAAGTAAAACTTTACACAGTGGTAAACAAAACTTTATGAGTATTTAATTGAAACATTATTAAACAACCGAAAATACCTTTTTTATTGGCTGTGAACTGCGTGTCAGTATCTGCAAGTACTCTTAGATATTTACATCATGTACATTGGCAATTATACCACAAATTCTTATTTTTATATTGACACTATGCATGTATAATATAATGGAAGACACATTAAAATTTATTTTATTTATTGTAGAATGAAGAGAATACGCTTCACTAAGAAGCCCCCAAAGATTAAGAAGATAGTATATGATGGAAAAAGACCACAAACAAAATATGTTAGGCTAGATGCTTCATTATCCAGCAAACAAGAAGATACTGTTATTGAAACAGATCGTGATGAAATTTTTAAACAAAAACTGGATATAAGTAAGTTTGAGAGAGGCTATAGGTAAATTGTTGCTTTAAAAAAATGATTTTTACTGGATCACCAGTAAGTTATCATAAGGAACTATGTTGCCCCCTTTTTTACATCTTTAAACATACTGATACACTTGTGTAGGCAATTAAGAAATTAAGAAATATCTAATAACATTTCTGGTTAAAATGTACTATACATACAGGTTTTTGCAGGGTTTGAATGTGAATACATATTATTCATTACAGCTGAACAGTAAGCAAAAAAAAATTAGGGACTTATAAACCCAATATTATACCTTATTCGTTCCTGAACACAAAGTTGTGAGTTAAAACCCTGTTTTTGTGGTTGCACTGGACTTCAACTTTAATTTACTATGATTGTTAGTTTTCACATTAAAGGTTTTCTTGATTTAAAATCTAGCGGCCATGAAATAGTCCAAGAGTCCTTTAAAGTGGCATTCCAACACCAATGACTAATAAATGAAGATAAAAACTTAATACTATATATATGCTTATATTGAAAAGGTTAATTTTTACATAATTTTCATGCATTATATATATGGCTTTTGTTAATATTACAAATTTAAAAAAAGTCAGTTTTCATAGTTGCTATGGTTTATTGAATATACTTTACAAACTAGTATTGCCAATAGACCTTAATTTTTCCTCAATTTTTAGACTAGATTTTGTTAATACATTAGAAGTTTCAATAATGATATGAGATTCTAGGAACAAAAATTAGGTTTTGGGCTCTTAGTAACAGTAAGCATTCTACAGATCTAGCTTTTACTAGATCTTATATTTATATTTTTATCTAGAATTTTGTATTGAAGGGATATAAAACCTTTTTATTTTTCTTATGCAGATTTAGAACTTATAAATGAAGATCATCTTGACCAAGAAGTACCAGCTAAAAATAGTTATGCAGGAAAGAAAAAAAAGCTCATTGAAGCATGGGAGGGATTAAGAGAAGGCCTGATATTGACTAGACTACAGGAGCTTAGTCCAGCAACGCATGAGTGTGGGTTTTGTGATGATGTACAACCCAACATTATTATTTGTCAAGATTGTGGGCCTCAGGCATATTATTGTTCAAGTTGTTGTGAGAGAGTACACAGAAATATCTTATTTCACAAACCACACCAATGGAAGGCAAGTCCAAATTATTTTACCTTTTAAACGGATGTTCTTTCGAAAAATAAAACTGCTTTAAAGATAAAAGTCTCACAATTGAATTTTAAAATACCCAAACTCACTGACTTGAAATACCTCAAGTAATCAAAAATGAGACTAGTTTTAAAATTTTATATTGCATGTACAAAATTATTCAATGTCAAAGTCTGCAGCATTTTGATATTTAATTGAAAATCTTTAGTACAAAACTGATTGAGTCAGGCAAACACAGAGCTATCAAACTATAACAACTATAACAAAACATCTATTTTGATCTAAATTAGAATAGGTCTGGGTAAGGTGACATATCTACCTGTGAACTGTTACCTTCAGAACTATCACATTCAAAATCTGGCTTAGCATTTTGGTCTAGAACAAAGCTTGATTTATATTCAAATTACATTAATATATTATTGTTCTGAATATGTATATTAATTTGCCGCTGGACATTAAGCAGCTATCCATTATCATCTACACAGTTAAATTATGTATTTGTCTTAACTTATAGTTTAGAGGATAACCAAAATTTCTATTTTTACTTTCTTTCCCTAGGGATCTATGTATGTACCAATAGAGCTAGTTAATGAGCTAACCAGAAAAGATCACAAATGTGACCAGGCATTTTTCAGCAACATTTATGCTGTTGATATGAAAGGTGTGTTTTTTTTATATCTGTTGTAATGTGTCTTGCTACATGTAGTACTTTGACACAAGTTACAATCATATAAATATATGTTAGATTTTTTTGTTATATATTATGAGATAAACCATTATAGGTAATGTTAAGAAAAGGAATTAAGTTCCAGTCTGCATGAGAATCAGGCAATGGGATAAACGTGACAAATAAAACCCATTCAAGTTAACATTTATTTGAGTTTATGATATGTAGTAATGCATGAAAATAACATGCATTTCCTTTACCAGTTCTGGTAATAGAAGATACAATTTGATTGAAATACACTAGAAACTAATATTCAATCAAGGGCAGATAAACTATGTCATTTTCTACCTTTTAACCAACACTTAAATTACAAGATCACAGGTCAAAAGATTCACCAATTTTTACTCAAGATATTTTTAGGCTAGGTTGGCAGATTGTTTTCTGACCATAATTTGTGTTTTTTTAAATTGCCTGATTCTTACAAAGACTGGCATTAAAAATACAATAGTATTAAAAACATCAGAATACTTTTATAACTTATCCTTTATTTATTTAGGAACACAACATATCTGCAAAATCCAGCTTTGTAGATGTGAAACTGCAGCAGCAACCCTATTACGGTACAATTTATGGCCAGCAACACCATCAAATCCTAGAATTGCCTTTGATATTCGTTTCATGGAGTTGCTCTCGGTATTACACCTGGAATGTCACCTGCCTACAAAATCTTTTTGTGATGCCTTGGGATTCTTAAAATCAAACTTTATAAATTTGGCTACAGATGATGTAAGTACTCTATTAAGTTTACCAATTATTGTTTATTTTTATCTCCCTTTGATAACTATTCTTCCATTTTAACCTATCCATTTGTCATATTGTGTAGTACATGTTTTATACTGTAACTTTATGCAATCTACAATATTTTTATTTTCCTTACTTACCCCACAATAAATAAAAGTGATTGAATTTTGTCATTTTCAGTCTTTCATGTTACTTCCCATCTAGTGAGAGTAAATTTAATCATCTGGTAATGAACATTTATTAGTGCTTAGCCAGGGAAATATTAGTACAATTTTTGTTTGAAGCATGACTGCCATACATATTTATTTTTAATAAATCCAAAATAAAAAGCATATGCATACATTGTTTTTATTATAAATTAGATTTTGTAAGTAACAATTCACCTTTGTCGTTTATACTGGAATTCTGTTAATTTCTGATATCCAGATTAGTAGAAGTTTTACTTAATAGATTCAATGGATATACTCCCAACTTGCAAAATGATAATGTAATGTTGGTTTTTTTTTACCAAAAACAGAAAAGAAACATCTCCAAAAGTACTGGCCAATTTTTTATCAGGCATGAGCTATTTCTTTCTGAAATCATTTAAGATGCAAACCAAATGCATTGAGGACAATATGATGGCGCCTAACCTTAGTAACATTTATATTGTTTATTCAATACACTTTCCAACTGTAATTAGCAAACTAAAACACAACAAGTTGACAAGATGTTGAGGTAAATCTAGGGAAAAACTCTAGGACTGATATTGATAAAAATGAATGATAACATGAAGTAAATATATATTGAATAGTAAGCCCTTGAGATAAATGATTGCAAAGTATATTTTTACTATGGAAATTATTATTGTAAAACATATTTACTTGGCAGGAAAAGAATATTTACCGTGCTGTTGTTGGTGATTGTTTGACAGAATACAATTATCACCGGTCCACATTGAACACTAGGCACACTATAACTGAATCATCTTTTACCAGAGAATGTCCAATATGCTTGAAGGTAATTAACACATAAAATAATTTTGTATTTAAAGGATTATTACCCGGAAGTGGCAATTTTGTTTAGGTTCTGTTCAGAAAGATGATTTGATAACTTTGAAAGTTTGTCCTTCTGGAGCACCTTATTTCATTCAAGCTTTTAGTGACATTTCTGTATTAGTTCTAATTGTGAATTAAGAGAATAATTTTTGCAGACTGTCTGTGATTGAAATGAGTAGTTAACAGAGGTACCCATACCAAAGAAAAATTGCATACATGGAGTGTTCTAATTTGATAAATTTTATGAAAGTTTTGACTAGATTTGTCACTAAGAAAACAATAGAAAGTCAACTACTTACTTAAGGTTACATGCACTCTTCATTACAAATGTTATTTTGTCAATTATACCCCAATGAAACAAGTATGTGGGGGTATATACATGTAAAGTAATTGCTTTTTTGGTTCATCCCCTTCTCCTTATCCGTCAGTTTGTGTCTATCTGTCTGTCAGTCTATTAATGAAAAAATTTAATGAACCTATTTATCGAACTATAGTCAATAATATGTTTCATGACTAGTAAAAGTTGTAATCTTAAATGTCATCTCACCTTATTTAATAGAAAAAAATAACAAGCTTGCTTAAGCTGATTCAGGTTACTTATTGTGAAATATTAACATCTTGGTATCAGTTTTATTTGGGTAAAAATATATATGCTATTAATTTTGTTTTCTGTAATAAAAGGGCATTATACTTGATGAAATGAAAAATAATAAAAAAAAATCTATTTTTATAGAACCCCCCAATAATCTCTATGGATGCTAATTTTGGTCTTGTACACAAACGGTCATCAGGTGAAGGTCATGGCAGACATTCTTCCAGACATAAAGACCTTTTTTTTAGAAACCATGACAACATGAAAAGTTTCATCGATGATTATTCTGTCCAGAAAGGTACTAATTATGTAAGTATTCCTAACTTCTATGTTGTATGCACCTCCTTTTTTTATTTTTAATTAAAAAAAAATTCCCATAGCCAATCATGAACTGGAAAATTTTCATTAAAAATTTATAACCCACTACTTTGAATACTTTTCGAAGTCATTTGTCCATCTGCTGTAAACTATTTCAAAGATATTCTCCTTTGAGACTGAACCATTTTTAAAAAAACATTTTAAAAATGGAATGATCCTAATGACGGTATATAGTATAAAGTTTGTGGTTTATTTTTTTTCCTAAAAAAACATGGCAGCCATGGCTTAAAATAGAATCATGGGTAAAATGCAGTTTTTGGCTTCTATCTAAAAAATTAAAGCATTTGGAGCCAAACTATCAGTCAAGAAGTGTGCATAAGGTTAAAATCTACCATGTACCTTTTAAACAAAATGGAGAAAAATTTTTGGGTAATAGTTTCTGAATTGATAAATTTTAGGAAATTTGGCAGTATTTGGTAATTATCTTAAATATAAATATAAATAAAGGTAAATTGTAATCAGCAAAAATGTTCAACAATCAAAGATCTACAAATAAGTCCTATGCTCAAAATTGTATATTGATCCCTTTAGGAGTTATTGTCCTTTAAAGCCAATTTTACACAATTTGCTCATTTTTTTTTTTTTAATTGTGAAAAAACATTCTCTTCCAAAACTACTATGACAAATGTTATCCAAACCTAGGCTGGATGTTTCATACATGCTTAGTGTGTGATTTTTTTCTGTTCATGAAAAAACCTGGTCACCAGGGCTAAAAATAGGATACTAAAGCTTTTGAGAAAAACTGAAGCTTTTGAGAAAAACTGATGGAGTATTAAGTTGAGATCTACCTGCCATGAAATTGTCAGCGTAATCAGATAACTTATTTTTGAAGTAAGTGCCACTGAATTGATGTTCTAAAGGAAATTAGTTAGTTTTTGTTTATATTATTTAATAGACAATATTTATTAGCACAAACACATTTACATTAAATGGTTATGACATACAGTATTAAGGCAATAAACTGACAATAGTTGAATTGATTATAATTATATTAGAGCGACAGTGGTATTCACAGCGGAAAAAAAAAGACTATAAATATGTGTGTATCGACAGTTAACACATTATTAATGTTCATGAACAAAAAAAAGAACACAAACAAAAATTAAGTTGCATATTAAAAGAAACACAAGTTATGCAGATGTTCTCAATAAAAAACAATCATTAATATTCTTTATGGTGATTTTTATAATGACTGGCAGACTGCTATTTAAAAGTGCAGTCATATGCCTCAGTGTTATAGCTGACTGCAATTTAATAAAATTGAAATTAAGATTTTTATTAATATTTTGTATATAGGTATCCCTCAATGATGTATAGTATGGACAGACTGAGAAGAAAATATTATTATATATAGATGGAGATTATTTTCTCTGTATTAAACATACTGCTATGAAGACCTCTTACTTTTTTTCTTTATTTATAGTTTATTTTTCCTTCCTTTTAATCAATAAGTTGCTTCAACTTTTTATTTTGCCACAGGAATGTTCCAATTTTCAAGCAGGAGACAACATTCGATCCAAGATCAAGAATGGCAAACTGGATGTCACAGGTGTCTTTGGTAGTGTTTGCAAACATGATATTCCATTCCATTTTATGGACCTGTCTCATGGTGAAAGGTAACACACTAAGAAGTATGACCTGAATTCAGATAAAACCTTTCAACTGTCTATCTATCTGAAATCCCTCCCCAACATAGCCATGTAAGGTAAAATTGTAATATTGGATCTGCTGTATCATTACTGCAGATTAATGTTTTTGTTACTTATGACACATTGCTTAGGTTGTGATCTTTGTATTTAAGTAGTGAAGAGAGAGATCTATTTCTCATTTCTTCCTTAAATTGTGCCTACTTTAACCTTATTGTGTAGTTTAAACCTTTTTCATTTAATTACAACGCATTGAACCAATGCCTGGTAAATCTTCAATATCATATAATCCTAAAGTGGATACCTCAAAATGCAGGGTTGTTACAATAAAAAGCACAAAATGTGAAAGTAGTTATAACAAAAACACTTTAGGGATTGCTGCAGTAATGTAAGGAGATCAACATAATTTGTGTCTATGGTATATTTTTTATAAATAGTGGATAAGGAAACAAGAAATATTAACATTTTTACTGCAAGAGTATTTTACTATTTTTAATAAACAGCAATTATTATGAATAAGAAGATGTGGTATTAGTGGTACTGAGACAACTCTCCATCCAAGTCACAATTTATAAATAGTAAACAATTATAGGTCAAGGTACGGCTTTCAACACAGAGCCTTGGCTAAAACTGAACAGCAAGCTATAAAGGGCCCCAAAATGACCAGTGTAAAACAATTCAAACTGGAAAACTTATCTAATCTTTATAAAAAACGAGAAATGAGGAGTAATTATGAACCACAACAACAAACAACAACCACTGAACATCAGGCTCCTGACTTAGAACAGGTGCGTAAAAATGCAGCAGGTTTAAACATTTTAACATGTACCAACCTTCACCCTAATCTGAGATAGTAGTGTAACATAAAAAAAAAACACTATAAGATATCAATTGAAAGGCTTAATTTTGTTGTTAGGCGTACATAAACATTTTTTTACGTAATATTAAATTTGTTGTTCACAGTACGAGTACAGAAGTAAAAATGTATTGTCATACTAAATAGTTGTGTAAGGTGGTACCAATTAAAAATAGTGAAACAAGATATAACACAAAATAAGTAAACATTGAATTACAGAAATTCATAACAAATTGTGTCAACAGGTTAAAATTAATACAAAAGTACAATTTTAGAGTACTCAGAATTACTAAAATCAAGTTGAAAGCCAAAAACTATTAATAAAAAAAATCATGCATCAGATAGATATATCATTTTACATTCATGATCTGACAAACTGGCATCTTTTTGTGAGACAATTATTGCACATTGTATAGAAAATTATTACATTAAAATTTGATTTTAAACCATTTTTTCAGACTTAGCTATCCAGTTTACATTTTGAAGTGTTTATTAGAAACCAGAACTGATAACCTTGTAGTTATGTACGATATTGCATGTATGCTGCACAAACATTTGAAGGTAAAATCTCTATAATGCTAACTATTTATCATTTCTTTACCATGAGGCTGTATCTCATTTACTAAAATATAGAATAATCTTTATATATAAGCAATCAACTCGAATATGGAATCAAGGTGCTAATACTAATATCAAAATAAACTTCAGCAAACACTGACATTTTGCTAATCCATGTTTTGATCTGTGTTGTTTTAAAAAGATTTATCAATAAGAAACGTCTTACCATCTCAATTTGTAAAAGCAGTTTATGATTTTCCAAGTTATTATAAAAATTTGCACTGTTACATTTTTGGGGGATATTTTACACTAGTGATTAATGGTATGTCTGAAGATATACATACTGATATTCAATGTACACTTACAATTCATCTTTCAAAATATTTTATACTGCCTTAACCATGATAGGATCATACAAAATTACTAAAATTTATCATTTCTTTTTCAGAAGAACAATTGTGAAGAAATGCTAGAAAAGTGTACATTTGCTATTCCTGTCTTTCACAGCTTTGCACACAACATGGCTTGTCAGGTAAACAATTATAACATGTTACGACTGTAAAAATATAAATATAAGTGTTTATACATGTACTAATAGCAAAACATTTGGTATGAAATTAATGATAGCGATGAGAATAAAAATGTAACATAGATTGATAGATAGTTTAAACAAATTAGCATAAGAAAATAAAATAAATAGCCTAGAACAGTTGGTTCATGACACGATAAGAATAGATAATTGAAACTGTTTAGTGTTAAAGGGACATAACCCTAAAAGAAACTAAAGATGGCAAAATTTTGGTATAAAACTAAAGATAGCAATGAGAATAAAGATGTAACATAGATTGATAGATAGTTTAAACAAATAAGATAAGAAAATAAAAAAAAAGCCTAGAATAGTTGGTTCATGATACAATAAGAATAGATAATTGAAACTTGGAAAGTGTCAAAGGGACATAACCTGACCAAAAGTAGAAAACCGCCAAAGGCCATCAATGGGTTTTTTTGATGCAGTGAGAAAATTGTGTAATGACAGTAGTGCTTCAGATTGCAAAATAAATGTTGTAAAAGTGTCAGTTCATATTTGTGAAAGGGACATACATTTATAGTTGAAAGCAAAAGGTAAAATCTTATTATACCCCTGCTTATAATAGGGAGTATACTACTTAAACCCAGTCTGTCTATCCATCCGTCTTTCTGTGAATCAGTCAATTCCATTAAATTTTTGTCTCATTTTATTAGGAACTACATATCTTGGCTGTTTGAAATTTAGAATAAAGGTTCATATGGTGAGCTATTCAATGTGATACATTTTCAGATTCATCCTCAACAACTTCTTGTTTACCATATACTTTTGCAGGGGTATCATAAGTAAGCAGTAGCTGTCTGGCTTTTTTTTTTCAATGAAGAGATAAGTTAATTTATCCTCAAGTCACTGAATATTATGTCTTAATTCTGGTACCAACAGCTAATTTCCAAAAAGCGTTAGAACATAAAACTGTTGACTGAAAAGACAAAATTTTACAAGTGAATTTAACATTAGAATATCATGTTTTTAATTTTGAAAATTAATTATAAATAAGTTTAACTTGACAGGTACAGTAAGATTGATATGTTTGAAATTGATTAACTTTCATGATTGTATTATAACAGATATACATTTGAATATTCATTGGACTACCCAAATTAATGATCATTCATTATGTATTATAGAAGTCTAATGAATATTTTTATGATTGATATTTTAAATTTAAGGTTGTGATGAGGGGCTGTGACTATACATACCCATTAGATATTGAAAATAAGTAGTTGCCAGTTTGCATAGAAAATGTTTATAAATTTCATTTGTCATCTTTGTTGAATAAGCAGACATATGATTTTGGTGCAGAACCTCAAGTTTTATTTACCTCATTGTTTTCTTTAGTTGTCCTATGGTCAACGATTTGTAACAGGTACAGGATTGACAGATGGTGAAGGCATAGAGAGGTTGTGGTCTTATCTAAGGGGATTTAGAAAAATCACAAAGGAAATGTCCCTTAATAACAGACAAGATCTTTTGACAGAGGCAATGCTGCACCATAGTGAAAAAACTATATACAGTTTAGGTAAGTGTGCACTTTTTTGCATTTATTTATAGTAAATAGACGATGATTTTTAGAAGATTATGAAGTGAAACCATTAGAACGTTTTTGTACATATAACTTTTTATCCTCTCATTTTTCATGTAGCCTGTGCTGGCAGAGGCATCATAAGGGGATCACTTCACGTAATCTTGCATTTTTGTTGTTGTCCATGTCATTGGCATCACAAATATTTTCTCAACAACTACATTTGGCACACTCTTGCTATTTGAATCAAAACTAAATCCCAATGTTCTCTACAGTGTGTATTGATGTAATTGCTGTTGAAAAACTAGGGGTTTTTGGGAACATATGTCTCCCATCACATAGAAGACCTTCATCTACTGCATTTTATGGAAAAGGGTAAAAACAAAACAAAACAAAAAAACAATTACCGGTAAATGTCTTACTTTGGAAACCTTAATTATTCAGACATTGACAGTATACAATTGCTTCACACATAAAGGTACATTGCAATGGGAGATCAATTGAACTTAACTGGATTATTAAGGGTTACATAATATACATTATTATTACTGATTGGTGCTATTGAATGATGACGTTAAATACAAATACGCACTGCTTATACATCTTCTACAGGATACCAAATACCAAGAAATAAACATACCCTATTCTAATGTCATGTCGATCTGACTAGATGTAAATTTATTACAACTTATGAAAATAAGTTGCCCTTTGTTTGGGCATACATTTATTCATGTTTAAATGTTTTATCTAATTTTTCAGGGACAAGAATGATAACCAGACTAGAAAAATGTGACACAATCATAGAGAACACAGAAAAAGTTATTCAAGATATCCTAATAGAGTTAGAAGGTAATTTCTACAGATATTTTTGCACGTGTTTTAGCTAAAGTGGCTATACATACTGCTCTGTAAACTTTTAAGATTTTAATATTCTGCAGAAACCATTAGTCCTTAAAGAACTAAAATTACAGGAATGGTCTTGGAGATGTTTCAAAAATTGCTTTCGGATATTTGAAGGAAACAACACTTTTGGTTAGATAGATAATTTTTTATGGGCCAATGAGCAAAACTTTACACTAATGCTCTTTTTCTTGTCTTTCACAGAGAATTTTCATTTCACTCTGATTTATGATCAAATATGGCCGTCATAGAAAAATTTTTTCACTTGGATAGAATCTTTAACTTCCTTGAAAGATTTCCTTGAAATATTTCTTTTAATTGTTTTAAATCTTTAATATATGAAAATTACATAAGGGGATAATTCCTTGTATACTCCAGAATCTGAAGAAGCAGTAATTGATTGGCAGATGGAATGGAAGTTGCAATGTCATATTAAAGGACGAAAAAATGTTTTTCTGACAGTTGATGAACAATATGCTGAAAGCTTAGACAACCTGGAAGAAAAGAAGTAATTATATCTTCATATGATTCATCTCTTGTAGCTAGAACACTCTGTCTATTTTTTAGACGGAAATGTTTAATTTATTGTTGGAGGGACCTGGAGTGCCAGAGAAACTGACCTTTGAATAACTACTTAGACCACTTTGCCACCAAGTTTTTTAGTATTACTTTTGTAAGAAACAGCTAGTATCCTTACTTCAGAAAAATAAACCATGAAAATTAATACATTCCTATATTTAATTCCTACTTTCTACTCATGGAATTTAATTGTCCTAGTGCTCATTATGATTGTTCAAAATTAAATCATTCAGTTGGATGTCTACAGTTTCAAATTTATTAATGATGAACAATTTATAGTAAAGAAGAAAAAGCTGTTTAAAGAATTATCTTTTCAAATTTTCCATAATTAAAATATATTTATTTATGAGATTTATAAAAATAGTGATGTACTGTTTTATTAATAAAATTATTTTCTTTTTCAGACAGCTTTTAAAAACTGCAGATACAGTTAGTTCAAGAAAAGACCTTGAAAAGAATATTGAAAGGTTTGTACTTTTGATTACAGTACATTAAAGATTGTGTTATTGACTACAGATATGTTTAGATTAAAGATATGAAATTTGGCCATTTTGTTTCTATTGATTATATAATAATTAAGGGTTTGTGATCAATATTGTGACTTCCCTAAAAGAACTTGAAAGCTAATGACGCAAGGATATGTTGCTCACAGATTGAAGTCTTCACATTTTAAGTTTTAAGGTCATCCCAAATAATGACCATTTTTTACCTTTTACAAGTAACACTGCCAATGGCTAGCAAGAGGCAGGAATTGCTGGACAACTGAAATTAACCCTTAGTTTATTGAAGGGCTCCATAATGCTAGTGCTTGTGAAGTATTTTAGTGTATTTCAGTTAAATGATTGATTGATGGATGGATATTTGTCTAGTGTCCAGTGGCTATTCAGATGCATATTCAGGATGAGAACATGATATAATCTCATTCTTTCAATTTTTCTTTACAATGTTTTTGACACCTTGAGTATGAATTAAGGATAAACGTCTTTCATATTAATTTCTTTAACTTCACCAATAAATAAATCTGTCATAACTATTTTAAAATCAATTGTCACTTAATAAGATTAACAACTATTTTCTTTTGACATTTAAAATGTTTAAATTTGTAGAACCATATCTTTTCTAAAAGTTCAATTTCTAAATAAAATGATAGATAAAATTATTAGTCCAAATTAACCTAGTGACACATTGTTGTCCTTTGTGTGCCTTGTTATCTTGTTGCAGGTTGGGTTTCTGTCCCTCAATTCTCTCCTTTTCAGCTCACCTGGCCCAAAGGGCCAAGTGAGCTTTTCTCATCACTTGGCGTCCGTCGACCGTTGTCGTCGTCGTCCGTCGTCGTTAACTTTTACAAAAATCTTCTCCTCTGAAACTACTTGGCCAAATTAAACCAAACTTGGCCACAATCATCATTGGGGTATCTAGTTTAAAAAATATGTCCGGTGACCCGGCCAATTAACCAAGATGGCCACCATGGCTAAAAATAGAACATAGGGGTAAAATGTAGATTTTGGCTTATATCTCTGAAACCAAAGCATTTAGAGCAAATCTGACATGTTGTAAAATTGTTTATCAGGTCAAGATCTATCTGCCCTGAAATTTTCAGATGAATCCGACAACCCGTTGTTGGGTTGCTGCCCCTGAATTGGTAATTTTAAGGAAATTTTGCCATTTTTGGTTATTATCTTGAATATTATTATAGATAGAGATAAACTGTAAACAGCAATAATGTTCAGCAAAGTAAGATCTACAAATAAGTCAACTTGACCAAAATGGTCAGTTGACCCCTTAAGGAGTTGTTGCCCTTTATAGTCAATTTTTAACCATTTTTGTAAATTTTTGTAATCTTTTACAAAAATCTTCTCCTCTGAAACTACTAAGACAAATTTAACCAAACTTGTCCACAATCATCATTAGGGTATCTTGTTTAAAAAATGTGTCCGTTTACCCCGCCCACGAAACAAGATGGCCAACATGGCTAAAAAATAGTACATAGGGAAAAAGGCAGTTTTTGGCTCATATCTCTGAAACCAAAGCCTTTAGAGCAAATCTGACATGGATAAAATTGTTCATTAGGTCAAGATCTATCTGCCCTGAAATTTTCAGACCAATCAGGCAACACGTTGTTGGGTTGCTGCCCCTGAATTGGTAATTTTAAGAAAATTTTGCAGCTTTTGGTTATTATCTTGAATATAATTATAGATAGAGATAAATTGTAAACAGCAATAATGTACAGCAAAGTAAGATCTACAAATAAGTCAACATGACCAAAATTATCAATTGACCCCTTAAGGAGTTATTGCCCTTTATAGTCAATTTTTTACAATTTTCATAAATTTTGTAAATTTTTGTAAATTTTTACAAAATATTTTCCACTGTAACTACTTGGCCAAGTTCATTATAGATAGAGATAATTGTAAGCAGCAAGAATGTTCAGAAAAGTAAGATCTACAAACACATCACCATCACCAAAACACAATTTTGTCATGAATCCATCTGTGTCCTTTGTTTAATGTGCACATAAACCAAGGTGAGCGACACAGGCTCTTTAGAGCCTCTAGTTTCTTTTCACTCTAAGGGTTTTCTTGTACATCTTGATACCCTAATAAGAATTTGATGAGTTTAATATGTTTTTAAAATTAAAAAATGGAAGTTTTTTTTATTTTTTAAGGACTTATCATATTTTACTTTGGAAATTTAAAGTTGAGAGATCAATTTTATCTACAATGAAATATTTGTGAACTTTTGAATCTGCAATACTAGTATATTCTACATATCATGTGTGTCAAAGGTAAGTGTTTTGCATGTTAAAATTTTGGCATGTTTAATAGAGGGTGGTCACATTTTTTTAATTTTTTTTGGGGGGGGGGGGGGGGGATGAAATACAAATAGTGAAATATTATTGGAGGATCAAGAAAGTTTTATATGTTTGATTTCAAAATGACCAGCAACCCCCTCCCTGTCGCAGGTAAAAAAAGATAAGTTCTTAAATTGCTATCAGATAACTTTTTTTGAGATGAGCCAAATTTTGAGAAAAAGAAATGAATCCTCCATATTATTATATTTGATAGGTTATCAAAGATTTGTAATAATCTAAAAAGGAGGACAAGTTACAAAATCAATCTACAAGAAGAACCAGGAATTACTCTTCTATGTTCCATTAAGAAAAAGAAGAAACATTTTATTCTAAAGAAATTGAAAGATTTGGCAACAGATAGACAGTATTTGTCTAGTTGTATGAAAAAATATGCAGGTAAATTTACAATTGTGGAAGTATAAATAAATTGAGGTTATCTTGATATGGACAGATTGACATCGTGAAATAACAAAGTTATGGGGTTCATAAAATGAGGGGGATTTTCCAGTTTTCAGACAATAACTCAAAAATGCTTTCGGCAGTTCTCATGAAACTTTGGAGAATTGTTTATATCTATTGATGTTAGCTCCCTTTAGACTTTTAGAATTTTTAGATTTTACGTTTCCGAGTTATGGAGTTTTATTCATTAAAAAAGGGGGGATTTTCCAGTTTTCGGACAATAACTCAAAAATGCTTTCAGCAATTCTCAGTAAACTTTGGTGAATTGTTTATATCTATTGATGTAAGCTCCCTTTTGAATTTCATAAATTTCAAATATGACATTGAGAAGAAATTGAACTTTATTCTTTGAAATTGTGACAGGCGTATCATGCGCTCATGGCGCAGCTGTTAATTCAAATCTGTGTTTGCAGCTTCTTCATGTTTTCGTTTCTATTCTTAAATATCAAAGTAGGGCTATTCTTAGCATTACAACATATAACGTATCTTCATGATTTTGTATTTAATATTTATATCAAATTTATGAACAAAAAATAAACAATCTTATTCATTCCCTTTTACTTTTATGTCATCAAAATCTGTAACCATTCTAGAGTAATGTCCCTTCCATGGCTTCCAAAACGGTCATATATTCCGGACTTGACCGAAATTTATATAAAAAGACCGGCTGCTCTCAGCCTCAAACGGTCAAATATCATAGGTTTGCCACTTTTTGTTATTCAAGGCATTTTCATAAAACGGTCATTTCACTTTTTTTACCAACTATCGATCAGTAAAAATGTCCGTTTGGGCATTATAGTTTATAATTGTGGCAATCTATTTCACAAAGATATTTCGGTCATATTTGGGTTAAATTAAATAGATGCAGCATATTTCATACTTTGAAGTGTCTCAGTTAGTCTAATCCTCTGGGTACACAAATGCACGGCTTGCTACATCAATAAAAAGTCGAAAAAAAATTTGTTCTTTTATTTAAAAAACAACAAGCTGTCAAACAATTATCCCTTCAATAAGTAATATTGAAGCCATAAATCATTTACTGATTACAGGTCATTATCTTTGATGAGAGACCTTAGCTTGTCTTAATCAATAGAATTGATGATGCATAACAATGAACATAAAGGTGATCAGGTAAACGAGGTCAAACATGTAAGCGTGTATGGAACAACATCCTATTTAATTACGCTTTGTAGATATTATTGTAAATGACCATTCAGTTTTTAAAAAATTTCCTTAGATTTTAAAATAATTTTTCAAATAAGAATATTTATAAATGAATTCGAATATGTATGATATTCATTATTATATTTAAAAACACTGTACATCGTGTTGAATACTGGGGTACGCTAAAGGGTATTCAAAGTTATTTTCTTACATTTCAGCGGGTTACATCTAATTAATTTAGTCTAAAAGATTGAAATTATAAGAAATACGTTAATAAATATGATTTGATGAAAAATTTGAAAAGGTTTTAAACGAATAATCGTCAGAACCACGTTGTTTGAACTAGTACACGTGTGCGCATGTGTCTATTGTCCGCTGGTGGGAAATTTAATTATGCATCCTAATTCTTCAATAATGCTAAAATTATCATTGATTCCTTTATCTAACGTTCATTTCGAGTATTTTCTTGAAGAAATAACTTGAAAAGGCTACTTAACTCAATCGTAAACTTACACGGATATTACGTATCCGTCTCTGATCCATGATTTACCATTGTCAAGTCAACATCCGGCATTAGGAAAATGTGATTTTAAAAACAAAAGTAAAGCTTTTGACAGCGTTATTTGGCACAAATAAAGAGTCTAAAGCGGAATAGGTACGCTGATGTTGCACACTTCCAATGCTGCACTTTCAATTTAACACTTTATGTCAGAACATCGAATTTATATCAAAGTAAAGTTTAAGATCGTTTTAATGTCAATCATAATTTGGTTATATCAATTTTATCATATATGATGGCCAGCTGATTATCATAGTTGCCTAATTTACTAAGTCTAAAGGGATTTAAAATCGGGATAAGATATGAAATGTCCGGCTGGCTCAACAAAATTTTGGAAGCCCTGGGACTCCCTTCATGATAAAACTTGCTAAATGCTAGTTTCCGTTCATCAATTTTAGTTTGCCTCAACTAAATGTTATGAAATTTCTACACAGTGCTTATTACCACAAAATACAGATCAAGAGTGAATTTTGGTGGTGTCACTTGGACAGTTCTAGAGTTATGCCACTTTATAAATTTATAGAAAAATTGCTGAACTTTGAGTTCCCATTCTCTAACTTAATTTTCCTTCAACCAAATGTTATGAACTTTACACACAATACTTATTATTACAAAACTAAGATGAAGTTCAAACTTGGGTAGGGTCACTTTTTCTGTTCTTCAGTTATGTCCCTTTTCAACTTATTGCAAGCAGGGGCATCATCTGTATCCATGATAGACACATTCTCATTTATTTCTTGTTGCAATATGATGTTTTATTAGTTATATATATATACCATTTGTAATATGAAGGTAAACCTTCTGTACTAGGTCAGGGTTGTCTTTCAGAAAGCTACACATCTTAGGTGTGCCCATCTCAATGATGTTTTGGTTGAGATCAACCCCCACCACACATGCCTCCACTCCAGTTTCTGCAAGTTCTTTAATCTATATTAAAGATAAAAGCAATGACTTATTTTAAAATTTTCTTTAGTTATACAGAAATTTATGAATCATTAATACATCTGAATGCTTAAGGCATTGAATAATCATAAAACAATATAGAGAGGCTCATGCTTCTTATTTTATATTGAAAAACAAAACATATTCAACATATTGATAGTATTTTTCAGGAAAACTGATCTTTAAGCAATACATTCCAAAAGAAACATTAACAAAAATGGAAATTAAGTTCAACAAGAATAAGGTAAATTGATCATTCCTCTTTTAGTACCAATAGACATGCTTATTGTGTAGAGACTGATAGATGTTATTGTGTACATTCATTAGATATAAGAAGATGCATGTGGTATGAGTGCCAATAAGACAACTCTCCATCAAACTCACAATTTGTAAATTTTCGGCATTTTTTTTTGTTTAAAATGTTTACCTACCAAACTACAAATTTTTTTTAACAGGTGTTTTGAATGACTCAGTGGTTCTGATGGTTCACTGTTCATTTCCTTTGCCTTTTCTTGATAGTCCTTTTTATCATCAAGGCTGAGTCTATTCCAACTAGTGGACCAGTTTTCCATTTTACCTAACTTCTCTGTAATATGAAATAAAACACATTTAAAGAATCAGTTTGAAGTATTTTTTTTCAAGTTACAACTGAAGATTAAACTGCTATGTAATGGAGGACTTTTCAATTCATGCACTTTTTAGCTCACCTGGCCCTCAGGGCCAAGTGAGCTTTTCTCATCACTTGGCGTCAGTCGTCGTCATCCGTCGTCGTTAGCTTTTACAAAAATCTTCTCCTCTGATACCATAGGGACAAATTTAACCAAACTTGGCCACAATCATCATTAGGGTATCTAGTTTAAAAAATTCGTAAGGGTTCCGCGGAACCCAGTGTCTCGCCTACTTTTGGTGTTAATCGCAGGCTCAACAAAAATGAGGAAAAAAATTAATAAAAATATTCCCCTCTATACTATGTTTTGATTGTAAGTAGCTTCTGTCCAAGTTTGGTAAAAATCCAGGATAATTTATGAATCTAATAAATGTTTTAAAAACTTAAACTGCAGAATGTATGTAATGTTGACTGGAAGAAAAAACTAAGTCCATTTATAAGTAAAATACAGAAAAAATGGAACAAAATTTTATCAAAATTTCCTTCTAGATACTAGCTTTTGATCATAAACAAGCTTCTGTCCAAGTGTGGTACAAATCCAGGATAGTTTAAGAAAGTTGTTAAAATTTTAAAAACTTTAACCACAGAGTGAATGTAATGTTAACTGGCAGAAAAACTAAGTCCATTTATAAGTAAAATACGGAAAAATGGAATTTTTTTTTATCAAAATTTCCTTCTAGATACTAGCTTTTGATCATAAACAAGCTTCTGTCCAAGTGTGGTACAAATCCAGGATAGTTTAAGAAAGTTGTTAAAATTTTAAAAACTTTAACCACAGAGTGAATGTAATGTTAACTGGCAGAAAAACTAAGTCCATTTATAAGTAAAATACGGAAAAATGGAATTTTTTTTTTACAAAATTTACTTCTGGATACTATCTTATGATCATAAACAAGCTTCTTTCCAAGTTTGGTATAAATCCAGGATAGTTTAAGAAAGTTATTAAAATTTCAAAAACTTTAACCACAGAGTGAATGTAATGTTTCCTGGCAGAAAAACTTAAGTCCATTTATAAGTAAAATACGGAAAAATGGATTTTTTTTTTTACAAAATTTACTTCTGGATACTATCTTATGATCATAAACAAGCTTCTTTCCAAGTTTGGTAGAAATCTAGGATAGTTTAAGAAAGTTATTGAAATTTTAAAAACTTTAACCACAGAGTGAATGTAATGTTAACTGGCAGAAAAACTAAGTCCACTTACAAGTAAAATACGGAAAAAATGGATTTTTTTTTTTACAAAATTTACTTTTGAATATAATCTTATGATCATAAACAAGCTTCTGTCCAAGTTTGGTAGAAATCCAGGATAGTTTAAGAAAGTTATTAAAATTTCAAAAACTTTAACCACAGAGTGAATATTTGTGGACGCCGCCGACGACGACGACGACGCCGACGGAATGTAGGATCGCTATGTCTCGCTTTTTCGACAAAAGTCGAAGGCTCGACAAAAATGTGTCCGATGACCCCGCCAACCAACCAAGATGGCCGCCATGGCTAAAAATAGAACATAGGGGTAAAATGTAGATTTTGGCTTATATCTCTGAAACAAAAGCATTTAGAGTAAATCTGACTGGGTAAAACTGATCATCAGCTCAAGATCTATCTGCCCTGAAATTTTCAGACAAATCTGACAAACTGTTGTTGGGTTGCTGCCCCTGAATTGGTAATTTTAAGGAAATTTTGCAGTTTTTGGTTATTATCTTGAATATTATTATAGATAGAGATAAACTGTAAACAGCAATAATGTTCAGCAAAGTAAGATCTACAAATAAGTTGTCATGACCAAAATTGTCAGTTGACCCCTTTAGGAGTTATTGCCCTTTATAGTCAATTTTTAACAATTTTTCATAAATTTTTGTAATCTTCTACAAAAATCTTCTTCTCTGAAACTACTGAGACAAATTTACCATACTTGGCCATAACCATTATTAGGGTATCTAGTTTAAAAAATTTGTCCGATGACCCCGCCTTCCAACCATCATGGCCGACTTGGTTAAAAATAGAACATGGGGGTAAAATGCAGTTTTTGGTTTATATCTCTGAAACTAAAGCATTTAGAACAAATCTGACAGGTGGCAAAAATGTTCATCAGATTTAGATTTATCTGCCCTGAAATTTTCAGACGAATCTGACAACCCGTTGTTGGGTTGCTGCCCCTGAGTTAGTAATTTTACAGAAATTTTGCAGTTTTTTGTTATTATCTTAGATATCATTATAATATCTAATATCTAATACTATTAATTATGATTTTAACCTTATTTTACATGATTTCCAAAGCATCAGTAAATACAGGTGAGCGACACAGGTTCTTGAGAGCCTCTAGTTTTTGTATTTCCTATGTCACAATAGTTCTATTAATACATCACAGTGAGAACCAATTCTTCAAAGATGTCATTTATGGCGATCGACAAAGTGAAACTCATTCATAAAAAAACCATCAAGATTTAAAGTGTATTAAAAAATACCTATGGACACTAGATATAAGAAATAATTTACGAGCTTTAGATTGAATGGAAAATGGCTGTTCCTGTTATCAAAATTACCATAATAAGTCTAAAAGACACCTGCTACAATAAGGAAATAAATCCTGTTAACTGAAAATACGGAATAGAGAATTTACACAATATATTTTTTCAGTGTTTTTCAAATACTTTAACTATATGTTTTTTTGTGTATATATTTTATGATGTTGTGTTATAAAGAATTTGCCTTTGAAAATATGGAATGTATCTCATATAACAGTTTTTTTTCTTTCTAATGAACAGATCAACCAAATAATTTTATTTCGGTATGTATAAAGATGGTAATGACTAGTCACAGGTTAGTTTTATTTCCACACTGATCAACTGATATTTAGTATTAACCTTTGAAATAGGAATGCTTTACCAAAATATCAGTTTTCAGAACTTGATTGACTCTTTGTAAACCAACTTTTTAAGTCATTTTACATTGTCATACTTTTCAAAACTATTGACAAAAGTCTCTCTTTTTTTTCTCCCAATAGAAATTTGGCCTACCGGGTAAGCAATATTCTTAGAAAGCTTGTTTGATATTAAACCATGACCTCTTTTATTAGTCTCCTACCAAACATGGCAGTTTACATTAAACACCATCTTTAGTGTTGAAAGTGGCATTAAACACCAATCAATCAATATTGACTCTTTCTGCTTGACTTCTTTTTTTATGCTTTAACCTGCTGATTTCATTTTTGGTATGTAGAATAAAAATAATGAGTTACTGGTCAGGTTAATTCAATAATTGCTAGTCAAATTATAGTTACGAGTGTAGAGTTATATAGCTCTTTGATATAGAGAAGTTAACCAAATTTCGTAATTTATAAAGCAGATTTGGGACTAAAGAACATGAAGAAGTAAAAGACTTAAAAAAGTGTACAATTTATAAATAAATTGCAAGCACAGGTAATTATACAACATTCTAAAATTAAAAATATTCCAAGTTTGAATAATAGCTTGTTTTAACTTAAAACAAGTATTGACATACACGAACAATCCTGAAGGGTCTCAACAATACATTTTTTAAATCAATTTTATATTTATATCAGTTTATTAACTGTTTTTGTTTCAGATGATAAAAATGTAGTGCTATCTTTAAGAAATGGTAAAAAGCTTAACAAATCACCTTTATTTTCCTGTACAAAGCAGTTGTATGAAGTTATACCCCTGGAGTGGACTGGTTTTGCCTTTTCATAGGTCCTTCCCTGTTCCACCTTGTTCCTGTTTCCAATCCAGTCCTTGAATTATAATGAATGATAAGGATATTTCTTTTCCAAATACATATTTTAAAAATATAAGGTAGAACTGTAGCACTATTCAATAAAATCTTGGACTTAAACTGGAGCTCTTAATAAAAACAATTCCATTCATTTGATTCCAGTGTTGACTTTTTAATTTGTTAAATCATCCATACCTGTACAATTTTGAATAGGGATATTCCACCGATGATAATGAAAAGTTTTAATTTTTATGCCCTACCGATTATGTTTTTTCGGTCTGTGCATCCGTTCATCTGTCAATTTGTACCATCCATTTGTCCGTCTGTCCCACTTCAGGTTAAAGATTCCCTGTTTCTAAGCCAAATCCTTATATTTTTCTTATGTTGAGTAAACTTTTACACTTTTATTGTTGATATCTACAGGCACAATTTGTTAACCCATATATATTATATACAATTGAACATGTATAAACAGAATGTGTTGTGTCATGATTAAAAAAATCATAGGTTCCCAAAACAAATAAGTTGATGTGGTCCAGAAACCATTCTCATATATATGATGAGGCAGTTCCATATACATCCATGTGATGTTCATTAAATTTATATGACTAAAACGTCTTTACTTGGACATTCAGTACAGCAATAATTAGCCATTTACTAGACCAAAGCATTTTTACTGGTCTTTTAGAAGTTGCCCAATGTTTAACAACTTTTGAAATCACTGAAAATTGTAAACAAAATTTTAATGCATACTATGATCACTTGCCGATCCAGGCCTGTTCTGCTACAGGCAACAATGTGTTTATCAACACTCCCTTTTCCTTTTGATGTCATGCCATCATGAAACATTTCTTCCAATATTTCTCTATTTGCTGCATTTATATTTGTTCTCTGAAATGAAAAAAAAGATTTGATAGACTGGTGTACAGAAATTGGACCGAAACAAATTTTTCAGATCATTTTTCGAAATTGATTGCACTATTTGAAGACATAATTAAAAAGCCCTTAGAATAGACATATCATGGGTCTATAGGAGCCAATGATATTTGTTTTGGTATAGTCCACATCATTCCCTGTGAAGCCATTACATATAATTGTAAAAGACCACTTACACAAGTCATTTTAAATGAAAGGAAAATAACAAATCAGCAGACAAAATTTGTATGTCCCTGTTGTCACTGGAGGGGTAACTAAGTATTTCACATCCAATCTTTTATGGTAATATTCTTTACAAAGCACAAAAATGTCAGTATTCACCTCAAAAGCTAACAAAACCTTTAAACAGACTTATTAAGAAAGGATATAGTTACGATTCTGTTGTCAGGTCATTAAAGATTGCATATTTTGGCTTTAATAATGATTCATTTATAGGGTTTTTGCATCGGAATTAAACACATTTATTCTAAAACCAGTTGTTGGCATGACACGGGTTATGTTGTTCTCATATATTTTATGATGGTATAATACTAAACCCCTAACAGGAGGGATTGTGCTTGATATTCATATGATGAACACATAACCTTTCAATCAGTTTAATTGAGGTCTGGAGCTGGCATGTCAGTAACTGCTAGTAGTCTTTTGTTATTTATGTATTATTGTCATTTTGTTTATTTTCTTTTGTTATCTATTCTGACATCGGACTCAGACTTCTCTTAAACTGAGTTTTACTGTGCGTATTGTTGTGCGTTTGTTTTTTCTTCATTTGCTAGAGGTATAGGGGGAGGATTGGAATCTCAAAAACATGTTTAACCCCGCTGCATTTTTGTGCCTGTCCCAAGTCAGGAGCCTCTGGCCTTTGTTAGTCTTGTATGATTTTTAATTTTAGTTTCTTGTGTATAATTTGGAGTTTAGTATGACGTCCGTTATCACTGAACTAGTATACATATTTGTTTAGGGGCCAGCTGAAGGTGCCTCAGGGTGCGAAAGTTTCTCGCTGCATTGAAGACCCATTGGTGGCCTTCCCACATAACACAGATCAAATTTGAATTTGAGTGGCAGTGCTTTTACTGTTCTTGAGATATGTCCCGTTTGAATGTTATATGCAAGTAAATTAAGACCCATGGTAAGTCACATTCTACATTTTTTATTTGAATTTCCCCCAAGTGAAGAATAATAAGCTTAATTTTTCTGTAGCAGCCACCTAAACTGGCGAAATAAGGTCATGTGTCAAATAGGGTCCTATGTAAAAAGTAATTGGAAGATGTGGTTGTTGCATATTTATACAAACATGGATGTATATGAAGTAATATTATAACATTTCAGTCATACAGTCATACAGTTATGTTATATAGATACAATGCATAAGCGTTGATTCTTGAAAAAGAAACCATGAGCCTGGAGGGCGAATGGTTTGTTTTTCATGAATCAAGGCTTATCCATTGTATCTATAACTTAAACTATTGTGTTAATGTCTTTTCAAAATTAAAGCCTTTTCTTAATTAGAAGGTATTGTAAGTGAGTTTAAATAACCATGTTATCATGTTCACCGATGCATTAATAAATCTAAGATCACAATTAATTAGTTAGAAAAATACAAATATAACACAACACGTCTGTCTTTAAATTATCAGGCATCTGAATATTATCTGTGTTTACAAAATAAGACATATTCGAACTTATTTCTAATAAAATTGAGAAAAGAAATTGGGAATAAGTTAAAGAGACAACAACCCGACCAAAGAGCATATATAAAGTATATATAATAAGTATATTACCGAAATTTCTAGCAAGAAGCCTAATTCTAGGCACATCACGATTTACTCGCACTATAGGAATTTGCAAATACATTTCTACTATTATGTAGTAAAACAGATGAAATCATACTATATTTATAAAACAAAAATGGACAAATAGTATCATTTTCGTTTCAAACATGTGAAATAGCAGATAATAATCCAAAAAATAAACGGTAAAACTCGCTATTATTACAAATATATCCATTATAACATACAAAATAAGAAAAAAACAGGATAACTTAAGAATTGGGACAACAAAGAGAATACAGGGATTCGAACCTAAACCGACAAGTCCCTACCTGTAACACATTAATTAATTGATCTTAACCATGCTAACCTCGCAGCTACCAACTAACACTATACGACTGCCTATTATGTATATATAAAGGTACAAGCCATGTGTGTCTGTTGTACCGATGTATATCATATGTTCATTTATATATATAAAATAGACATTTAAATTGTAACCCATTGGTAGTCGAGAGGTTTCGTCGATGTGTTGATGTCAGTCACAAACATAACCGATTTCAATGAAGGGTTCGATTCCGAGTGAAGGCATATAAAAATTACAAAAATTAAAGGTAAGTTTTTAAATTAATTCCATTAGTGAACAGAAATCGGTAAATTAGCCAATTCAATCTTAATGAAATTAGACACACAAAGGAAACAATTGAATATAATTTGGTGAGTCCATTTCAGCGGCAGATTTAGGAAGCGTTGATTCTAGAAAAAGAATCCACGGTAAATGAATAGGCTGACGTCACCACAATGGTTTAAACTCGTGTAACCATACACTGGGCATTATAAATTCAAATTCAAATTCTTTATTTCCTAATCATGTGACCCTTTTGAGCATTACAAAATTTAACACGATCATTCACACTTTCATACCAATCTTTCTTTCTCTGCTCACTCTAATAACTATTTAAAGTTTTGGTTTATTTTGCAGATACTCCAGCAGTTCCCAAGTTTAAGAAGAAAATATAATGATTGACTATATAGTTTTGCTGTGATGTACTTCTTGCAAGGAGGATGTGATCATTAACACATTTTTTTTAAAATCAGTAACAAAAAAAAGACCATAACATCAATTTGCACAATTGATCTAGTGGCTTCAGATTGTTTTAATGAATTTCTTATTTTTATATGACTTAAATTAAGAAAGTTAAACAAGTTTTTTTTATCTATAATTCAGTTTCAGAGCTAACACACAACAGACAAAAGTGATAGTTATTATAACAGAGACAGAATGTGAGAAGATATTCACACCAAAAATATCAAGTCTTCTAAATGAACTGACCATTTTGTTTTTAAATGTATTTTATTCTGGATATTTCATGTAGTGTTGTGCTGGTACAGGTAGTACAGACATTGTTATATTAACTTGCAGTCAAGTATGCCAAAAAAATTGCAGGTTTAAACAATTATTCAAACAAGAACAAAAAGCTTTCATATAAGGCTTAGCATGTGGCAGAAATTTCCAATCAGTCCAGAGTATTGTTTGAGAATATACCATATTCTATATAGGATGCCATTTTTTGGTATATTCAACAGTATAAAGGGAGGTAACAAATGGCACTTATTGCAATGGGAATAAAACATTTTTCCAGTTTCAGTACCTTAATCTGCGGTGATTTGAATTTTTGTAGAAGGAATTATTCTATTAAAAAAAATACATATACAATATAAGGTCAATGTCAGAAAAATATAAACTTTTTTGTATGAGGCTGAGAAATTGGGAAGGGCGAGGTTGTACCGAGCCCTTCCCCAGTTTCGTGCAGTCGTACAAAAAAAAAAATTTCAGACATTGACCTTGTATTGTTTTTATACTGCAACATAAATTGATACATTGATAGCTATACAAATTGTAACACAGATTTCAAACTTATTTTCCTCCCTTAATGAATCCTTGATTAAGAAAAAAAGTGTTCCATGATGAAATTGATATTGCACAAAATATAGCTGTGATACTATATTTAGGAAATAAACACAACTAGTTGCAGTATATAATAGGATATATATTTTTAGTCCAGTAAATTAATGTTATGTGTCTGTTTGTACATACTGTATCGGGTTGATTTTGGTCACAGTAGTTAATGAAGAAGTAAAAGTCACGTCACATTTGAGATAGAATAATGGATGGAAATGTCAAAGAGACATTAACCCAACTAAAGAGCAAAATAAAGCCCAAAAAGTTTTATACATGGAAAATAACTAATCATCCCTAAAAAGAAGTCCATCATACTTAGCTACATAAGAACAGCTAATGCAAAAGTGATGATTCTTTTGATTTCCCTCTTCTTATAGTTTGTGTATTGACATTTTCTATAAGTAGTTAGTTAAATAAATCCAAAGTTTTATTGGGCCAATTCTTTTTAGTATAAATCATCATTTAAAGGAATTTCTCTTTACATTAAAGTTAGCTAACAATTTGAGTCATGTTTACATATTTGTAGATCTTTCCTCAGAGTTCAGTATTTTTGTGATTTTTGTCGAGCCTGCGACTTTTGTCGCAGAAAGCTCGACATAGGAATAGTGATCCGGCGGCGGCATTAGCTTACTTCTTAAAAGCTTTATATTTTAGAAGGTGGAAGACCTGGATGCTTCATACTTTGTATATAGATGCATCATGTTATGAAGTTTCTGTCAGTCACATGTCCAATGTCCTTGACCTCATTTTCATGGTTCAGTGACTACTTGAAAAAAAAGTTAAGATTTTTTGTAATGTTAAATTCTCTCTTATTTTAAGTAATAGGATAAATATATTTGGTATATGCGTACCTTGCAAGGGGCTCATGCCCCTCAGACAGTTTTCACTTGACCTCGACCATTTCATGGATCAGTGAACAAGGTTAAGTTTTGGTGGTCAAGTCCATATCTCAGATACTTTTAAGCAATAGGTCTAGTATATTCGGTGTATGGAAGGACTGTAAGGTGTACATGTCCAACTGGTAGGTGTCATCTGACCTTGACCTCATTTTCATGGTTCAGTGGTTATAGTTAAGTTTTTGTCTTTTGGTCTGTTTTTCTTATACTGTATGCAATAGGTCTACTATATTTGGTGTATGTAATGATTGTAAGGTGTACGTACATGTCTAGCTGGCAGGTGTCATCTGACCTTGACCTAATTTTCATGGTTCAGTGGTTATAGTTAAGTTTTTGAGTTTGGTCTTTTTTTCTAATACTATATGCAATAGGTCAACTATATTTGGTGTATGGAAATATTTTATGATCTATATGTCCGTAACGCAGGTTTTATTTGACCTTGACCTCATTTTCATGGTTAATTGCTCAGTGTTGAGTTTTTGTGTTTTGGTCTGTTTTCTTAAACTATAAGCAATAGGTCAACTACATTTGTTGTATGGAAGAATTGTTAGCTGTACATATCTGCCTGGCATGGTTCATCTGACCTTGACCTCATTTTCATGGTTCATTGGTCAATGTTTAGTTTTCTTGGTTAATGTTAAGTTTATGTGACAGTTGTAATAAAGCTTTATATTTAGGACTATCAACATAATATCAATGATTAGTAAAGAAGGCGAGACATTTCAGCGTGTGCACTCTTGTACTTTATACTGCTGGTATTTTTTTTCACTATTAAAGTTTATGTTTATCTAATACAGTTTTCAAGATATAATATAGGCAAAAAATGCCCAAAAAAAATACTTTTAAAGGGCAATAACTCCAAAAACTAGTCAACTGAAGATTTCACCTTATTTGTTGGTCTTGTCTTTCTGGTCAGTTGTGCTTTTTATAGTTTCTATCTTTATATTACAGTTTTCAAGATACTGTTAATAGGCAAAAAATGGGAGAAGAAGGGCAATAACTTCATAATAAAGTCAACTAATATTTTTTTCGTCATGTTGACTTAGTTGTAGATCTGGTCTTGATGATGATTTTTATCTTGCCTTGACAGAGTCAAAAAGCGAGTGTCATAGGTATGCTGTTTCTGTCTGCATCGGCAACATTTTTTAAATTTGTGATTAGTTCTAGTTTATGGTGAACAACATGTGGTAGATCAGTCATATTTGGTATGCAGTTGTTTTAGTATTGACACATCTCATTTCCATGTAGATTATTTGGCCCTGCCCCCTGATTCATGGTCTATTGACTTTATAACTTTTGCTTATTTTACATGTTTTAGTTTGTGGGGAACCACTAGTGGTAGGTCAATGATATTTGGTATGCAGTTGTATAAGCTTTGGCATATTTCATTTTCATGGAGAATTTTTGGCCCCCTTAGTTATTGAAAATTTTGCTTAGTTAACATGTATTAGTTTGTAACTGTCAGTTCAAGGGGAACAATTATTGGTAGGCCAAAGTTCATTGGTATTCAGTTGTATAAGGAGAATATTTGGCCCTTACCCCTCATTCATGGTCTATTGACTTTGTAACATTTGCTTAGTTTACATATATTAGTTTGTGATTAGATCAGTTTAAGATGAACTGCTAATTTAAAGTCGGTGATATTTGGTGTGCAAATTTATTGGCATCTGCAAGTATCCTTTCCATGGAGATTATATAGCCCCAACCCCTCTTCATGATTCATTGACTTTGAACTTTTATCTAGTTTACATGTTAATGTTTGTGTTTAGATTTGTTGAAAGGGGACGACTTATTAATAAGTCAATGGTTGTTTGGTTTGCAGTTGTATTTACATAGAGATTGTTTAGCCATGTACGTCAGTCATGGTTCGTTAACTTCAAAACTTGTGTATTAACATATTTAAGTATTGCTATTTTAATTTCAACATCTGCATAATCAAAATTACAAAAAAGCGAGACATATCTCTTTGATAACAGTTTATTAAAGTAAGAGTTCAATCTTACTTGTTTAGTTTTTAAGATATCATTAAGAAATGATGAAAGTCGTCAGTATAAATATTGGTCAAACAATCAGAATACTCTCAAGATTTCGGCCTTTCTTGCTGATTTTTTTTTTGAAGATTCTGTCTTATCTGCTATAATTATGGGATTTGCAATACAATGAGGGAAAGTAAAAAAAAATAGAGAAATAAAATCATCATTTAAGAAAAATAACTTCAAAAAGAAATCATCTCACAGTTTTGAAATTTGTTTACGCGTAAACTAACAAAAGGTATAGCTCAACATTATGAACATTTTTTCACATTAGTTTGCAGGCGGGGATATCAAATAAATTCCTTAAACTATACACCCCAATGATGATAATCGCTGATATAAGTTTGTTTAAATTTGGCACAGATGTTTCAAATGAGGATTTTTTTTTATAAAAGTGAACAGACGACAACGGTACGGACACCAAGTAATGAGAAAAGCACACTTGGCTATTTAGGTCATATGAGCTAAAAAGGACGAATTTTCTCCATTAATGCTAATATTATAACAATAGCAAACGTAAAAGAAATTCATCGTTCATGACAATCTGCCAATTTTGAACAGTGTGTAGCTTAAAAAAGTCTGGCGACAAATACTTTTTTATTATTATAATTTAAAAAAAAGTATTATATGAGCAATATGTATTTGTTTGAAAGCCTCATTTTAAAGTAGACTAGTTCTAAATGATTTATCCTCTTTCTAAAATGAAGAATTTATTATTATTACATTTAGACAAATATGTAAGGATTTTGAATTAGACACCTCCCACCTTATTTTACCTTAGTTAAAAAAGAACAAAGCAGGCATGAGTACAGGGCTGAAGCATTTATTTTATACCTCAAAGTTAAACGCGAACCTGATAGAACGCATAGCAACGTGTAACTATGGATTAATATGTAAGGCAACAGTACCACTACATGGTAAAATATTGTTTTCTTAATTTATGGACTGTTAAACGCAATTTGTATACAGTATATTGTATTGAAATAACGCCTTCCGTGTTAGTAGATAGACGGGCCATGCTTTCAATGTCGATGAGACGGCTGTATAATAATTATACATATATGTATTATTGACTACATAATCATCATTCAAAACGCCTCGAGTGAGTGTCTACTATGAATGTATTACTGTATGACATACGATTTCATTAACGCAAAATTATCTTGTCCTTTTTTTTTGGGGGGGGGGTTAAAATTTACACCGAGATAGAATTTCTAATGGGTTCAAAATACAATATACCGCATACAAAATATGACAGACAAATAATGCAGTACTTTTTGTACAATAGATTTTGGTTTAACGGTTACCAGTGGATAAAACGGTTTGAGCAACCCAATCCAGTACTACATGTAATTTCTGTTACATTTGTTCTCTTGTGAAGAGTTGTCTTATTGGCAATTATACCACATCTTTTTTTATATGTAACTATGTGGAAATTCTAAGTAAGATATAGTTTATTTATTGGCAGATTATTGTTTAATCCCGATACTGAAGGTGTGTATATTAGCAAGATCATCAGTTCGTTCGTGTTTTAAAAACTAACAAACTCGAGTATGGTATAGATATGAACATATATACGTATCTATGGACAAGACACTTTGCTGATTAACGCATAAAAAATAAAAGATGTGCAAATGTGATTTCTTTTACATTAAGTCTTAATTGTGTATAAGTTTTATAAACAATTCGATTTAATCCACATCATTCGAAGTTGAAGCAGAATGGGTCATACAGGTCATACATAAAGTCAAATGTTTGTATGACGGTGACGTTCAATGTTAAGCAGTATTGCATTATTTTTAACGTAAAAGTTTTTACTTTTTTTTACTTTATTGGTTATACTGAATTGAGTTAGCAATCATATGACATGTTTCCCATATATTGCCATTATTGGTGGTTTCAGATGGTTGCTTATAATCACAGGTTAACATCTTCGGGAATGCCTTTCACCTACTATTTTTCATCGAACGAAGTTTTGAAATTCTTTCAAACTTACCATCTTTATATTGTTTATAATATAATGTAGTATAATGTATGTATATTCAAAGAAAGATTCAGCCTCGTGGTTAATGGTGGTTATAGGTGCCAATTTTAAATTCCGGATGTAGGATCCAACAAATAAAATGATTGGTTTATCATTTACAGCATCGAAGTACCGTGTTACCCTATTTGAACAGTATAACTCTATACAATATAATAAAAAAAAGTATAAATTCTATGTCATCTTACTTGAATAAGATAACCCCGGGTTATCTTGTTCAAGTAAGATGACATACGTCCCTATACCATATACTAGCATATTCTATGTTACACTATTTGAATACCATAACCCTATACCATATGTTAACATGGTATACCATAGCGTCTATTGAACAACGTAACCCCACTAACATAAGATCTATTTAATAGGATAACCTCAGTTGCATCGGGTGGTTACTATTATAGATAAACCGTGACATTTTAATCTATGGGAATGCACGCACAGACTACCAGTATTTACCAGTATTTCCTTTATAAAGATTAAAATCCTTAACTTTCACTAAACTTTTTGCATTATATAATGACAATGAAGACTGCAATTGCCTTCCTGGCTTTTTGTCTGTTGGGTGAGTAACAAATTAATGCTTTGATGGGAAAGTGCTGAACGATGTTAAAACTTAAAAAAAGTTTTAGGCAGATGTAGTTTTCCTTCGAACAGGCCTATTAATATCGATACCGTCTCATAATAAGTTCTTCTCTGTATTCTTGACTGTTTACACACTGCTTTGATAACTAAGCAGAACAAAAGTCAAATAGGTATGGCTTTAGAGGGTTAGAACAACATTTAAATACTCACACATTTCTCAACTACATAAGTTAAATTTTAGATTCTGTACAATACGTTCCTAATGACCATATCTAGACTAGTCCAGATATGTTTCTTTGAAAATGCTCTTTGATTCATCTGGAATAAACCCGTTTTCTATGCATTCTTGGTTACTTTCTTTTCTTCGTGTTTCATTGGGTCGAACTGAAAACTGGCATTCATGATTCCTTAGTTCATGAAAGACGAAGATCAACCATCGTATAGATTGACTTAGTGTTACTTACATGGATAATTAGTTTAATATTGGTTTCAGTCAAATTTTCATGTTTGGTTTTGTAATTAAGTCGCCAAAACGGAGTTTTGGGGACTTTATGTTTTTGTCCCGTTTCTTATTATTATTATCATTATTATTATTATTATTATTCTTAACCCTAATTTGTCCGACCATTTTCTTCCAAGCCTTAAATGATGGAAACTTTTTATTTGGTATGATGTTGGGGTAGTATCCCTTGGGGTGCATTCACTATTTTTTATTTCAAATGGGGGTCAACTTGGCACTATTTGGGGGCCGGAACATGGGTGGGGTCATTTTTCGAATATGGATTCGCTACTGGTAGAACCTTTAAGTTTTGTGTAATACAAGAGACCGATGTCCAGGTGTCCATTCCACATTTTTTATTTCAGCCCGGGGTCATCTTGGCATTATTTTAGGGGGTCAATTTTCATGGAACATTCTAGAACAATAGTCAGTCATGTGATAGTGTTGAATTATTCCTATGTACTTTTTATGTTATATAATGATACATTATTACAGGTAGCACCATATGTAGCTGTAATTCGACTTTGGAATTTTTAAAATGGCCGCCGTTACCATGGAAACTGCAAAAATGTGAATTTTTTTAAATGCTTCAAATTTAATGAAATTTTACAGAAATTTTAACGAGTGTATGTAG